ATTCATCAAAAAAGTAATTGTTGCCATTAGATCATACGGGCACGTAGTGAAATGATCGCCTCATGATAACAGCTGGGCCCAACTATATTTGTTAGCAAAAATACAGAGAAATGGAATTCTACAATTTGACAAGAGCCTTTCTCTTTCTTCCTTGTATTTGTAGAATATGAGATTTCAGATCTACAGGGAAAAAATAAAATATTCATAAAACAATGAAATACTGGAATGTGTAGTTCCTCCAAGGACAAATTGAAAGAAATAAGTCTATGTAATGCCCATCATTAATGTTTGGAGCCAACTACTCTGAAATGGAAAGTCACTAAAAGAAACATCAGAGCCTTACATTTGAGCAAACTTATGTCAAGTATACAAAATCTTGAAATTTTGTTAGGTCAAGGCCAAGTTTTCTTTCTAAACAGTTGAAAAAACTGTAGCGAATATTAACTTTTTCACGTACCTAAGGCAATTTGAAATTAGGTCTTTATATCTCTATCTCTATCTATCTTTTCCTTATCCACTATTACTGTTGACGTCCATATGTGCCCAAATGCCCTGAAGTTACCATTTGAAGTACAAAAGAAAAGAGCAGAAGATAAAAAAAGCGCGTTAATTCAGTCTATAGGTATATTTCATCATTTTTTTCTTTTAATTTCCAATGGAAATATTAGTATGTTTTGTAAAGTATACACGTATGACCAGATTTGACAAAGCAAAAAAAAACCCCAGATCTTCAATACCACAGCTATAATTCTCTATTTGGAGTCATAGCCAGTCAGATGTCTAAACATGTGCATCTTCTGAACATGTAAGAAACTGCAAATATTTACAAAACTGTATTTGCAGATTGTGGGCTTTGGACCCTTTTACAAATTCCGGCCTTGAGCCATAAAATTTTAAAAGTAGACCATATATTTTGCCAAAATGCCTCACAGTTTCATTCTAACATGCTAAGAAAACAGTGACCTGAATCTGCAAGGAACAAAAAAAAAACTTAATAAAGACAGACACACATGAAACAGTAAGAGAAAATGTATACTTACAGGGGAAATATCAATTATACCATAACCTTATACATTAAATTGCAAGAGATAAAGTGAAGGAAGGAGAGTGTTTTCTATCATCGAAGTAGAACGGGACATCACTTTAAAGTATTTTTATACTGCTCTTCCTGCATAATGCAACTTATGTGCCAGAAATGAAGGAAATGGCAAAGGTTCACAAAACCGTTTTTTCTAAACCTGCACATATAACTTTTTTTGTAACAGGAGTAAAATGCTGAGAATACTTCTTTTTTGTGAAAAACAATTATGTGGCAATAATTTGCAAACTTATTAATGTCTATGGAGTAGAAAACTGGACTGAATATTTTCTCAGGTCTAATTCAATCCCCATTCATGGCAAGTGTAGCCTTTCAGAAAACTTACCAGGAACACAGTGGGATGCATATACAGCTTTCAGTTGTAGAAGTTTGTTACATTTCAAGAAAGAGGCATTTGAAGGACTACTACACTGCCTTACTCTGCACTTGAAAACATTTATCTGTTTTCTGGCTCAAGGAAAAAGAAAGCCAGATCCTCACATCAAAATGCCCCTTGTAATCCAGTGCAAACACATTTTACCTGCACGCATATTAATTTAATTCACGACAATTTCTATTTACTACTTTACTGCAGTAGGGATGACAGGACCTCCACAGTCCAGATCAGAGTAGACCAATTTATGAAGAAATCACAGTTTGAAAATCTCTGATGACCACTGCAATGGAAAAAACTGAATGGGGAAACAAATGGGGGAGCAAATATAATTCATGTTATCAATGAATATGTGGGTGAACTACAGCGCACATCGTTTTTAAACCCAAGGTCATCTGCTTAATCACGACTGGCTGTGAGCAGTAAGTACCAACTATATATAACTGAATGTCTCAATACTGGGATCTCCTCAGAGGTGAACAACCACCGGTCAGTTGAACTGTTGGTTTCCCAAGTACTAAAGCCACAGGAACAGCAGCACAGGAACAGGACTCTGAATTCAGCAAAAGCCCATTAGAGTAATGAGCCACATACGTGTTTTGGTCTCCACCTCCCCATTTAGCGGGAGAATTATTGGCTTCAGGGATGGGCAGACAGGTATTTTTCACATTTGCATGATGTTTGAAATACATTTTGAGAAACATTACTATATTCACACTTAGAGAAATGTAAGGCTACATTTTACTATTCCTTTCCCTGTAAGATTTGTGTATATTTGAAGTGTTATCAATAACAATGAGGAAAAAATACAAAACCAGATAAGCTTCATGTATGGTAGTAAGGCTGTGCTTGTCATGAAGCGAGTATTGTCGTCTTTCACAGTCTGGTTCAAGATGGCTTCAGCTCCATAACTACAAGAAAGTGCTTGTAATGTTACAGTTTAATGACTGTATATTGTCATAGTTGAGAACAGTGAGAAAATGTAAGTAACTAAAAGACAATTTTGCATGGTAAGCATATGTGAAGTTAAAACTTTGGACAAGTTTGAGAGTTATGTATCATCACTGGGATACGTTCAGTTGGTCTACACTGGCACAACTCAACAACTGAACAACAGTTCAGTTTCCAACCCAGTGTCTAGGCTGATAAAACGCTCAAAAACACTGAAGACATGAACTTCCATTTCCACTGGAAATGCAAAACACACAACACTGATCTGCTACTTCTCTTACCTCCCTCCCAAAGCTACAGTGGATAATCGGACATAATATGAGACAAAGAGACAGATGTGTACTATACGATGGTAGCAACAACTTTCACCACCTGATTTTCTAATTGCAAAAAACGTTAAAATATACTCATACATGTAGATTGGTAGTATATAAAGAGTGCACAACACAAAGCGTTGACAGGAGACCTGTTTACCACTTACGGCAGCAGGAGTAAAATCCCAGCCCTAGACAAGACATCACTTTTGTCTCAGATACCAACACTGGGTTATAAAAAAATCATACAATAATGGATTCTGAACTGATACAAGCTTTATGTCACTTTCTCAGGATCGCTAGAAAAGCAACATTGTTAATACAAGACAACCAAAATCAAGACAAAGATCTGCTGAAAGTGGAAGCTTAAAAGTCAAGCTCCAACGGAGTAAGCAAGTGTCCACTGTTGTAATCACTGAAACTAGGCACACAGTTAAGCCTGTGCAGGATGAGAGCACAACTCTACAGCTACGCACCCAAGTAACTAGTACCTTTTCCTCAAGTACAAAGAACCTGGAAGCACTCACTGAACTCATGCCTGGTCACAGAAGACATTCTTTATAATAGAGTTGTTATATGTATGCACTGCTAGACAGTAAATCCTTTAAAAAATTCGATTTATCCATTGTCTAAAATTAATTTTTCCATCTTAAAATACATATCTAATTATACATTTCAGCCTTTTTATGTATGTGTGGATATATTTAAGCCATGGAAACCAGGAACAGAACTGCATTTAGAAGGTTTTTAATAAAATTTTACAAGTATCTATGGAATGGGGATGTTTATAGTATAACACTAAATCATAACTATATGGCCAGAATAACCAGTAACATACAAGTTCTTATGCTAGTTATCCTCTAAAAGTCTATAGGTAATTTTTTTATATACCAGGCAGTGAGAAATTAATGTATTTATTTCACAGCCACAACACTGAGGTCCTTTGGTTAGCTAGCCTGAGACTGAATTACAAATTTAGTCAACAGCATCTATGCCAATATTGTAATGTTAATATAGGCTATAGTTGAGGTTTTATATTTTCTAATCAATTTTCATTTGTATATTTCATGCTGATAAGAGGTAAAACAAACAAAAAAAAAACCAAACATGTCTTATTCAAGTTTTACAATAGAGGAACAGAACACAGAACTAGAAGGGAAATGGAGGTCATTGGTCCTGAACTCTGACCATAGGCAGAGTTCAAACATACCAAAACGCCTCCTCGCTAATGCTTGTCTAACTTATTCTTTAAAACCTCCTAGGATGGAAAATCTAGAGTCTTCCCAGATGATCTCTTTTCCTAGCTACATTGTCTTTGTTACATTCGTTACACAAACAAACATTACCTGTATTTTCACAGGTGATGAAACAGAGACAAGATAGTGACGTGACTTGCTTGACGTCACACAGAAGAATAGCAGATACAGCAATCTAACAGCTTATTCTCAAACTATCTTATTATATCACACTGTACTCCGCGATCTTCTTCCTGGAACATTCTAAATCCCCTGGCATGTTATGGGTTGCTCATACACACTACTAATTCACAGTCATCTTCGGGGTGTAACATAGCAAGTGTTTAAAAGCAGTTCAACACTGCTTTGGGTGACAGAAGAAAAAGATTATTCTACGGAATCTGGAGGAAAACAAAATGTAAGTAGGAAAACATAACTACTCCAGTAGGGAATTTAATGGGAACAGTACAGATGACCAACAATCTTTAAAGTCACAGTACTCTTGTTAATCTAAAGGATAAAAAAATAACAATAATTTGAAAGATAGTTCTCTAAGTGCACTTAACACAATGTATATTGAGATAATTGGCACCAACTCAGAAAATACTATCATCTGTTGAAGTGCCACCTCAGTTGCTTCAATATCTGCAGCATTCTTGGATTTTCACAAAAAGTAAGAGGCTCAGTTCTGTTTAGCTTGTGATACACATCTAGCCTACACCCAAAAGTGGGATAAGAATAGCTTCACTGCTTTAACACAGTCAGTGTGCAGTCTAGGCAACATAAAAGAAAACAAACTATAAATAAAGACGTACATAAGTTCTTAAACTAGAGCTGGAGGGGGGAGAAGAGATGGGACTTGCTTTCAAGATGCTACTCCCTCTCTCCCCTATTTCAAGAGATTAATAAAGATATTACAAGGAAGGGAAGCGAGGGAAAGGGAGAAGTTTGTAAGGCAAAGGAAGGAAATTAAGTACCTGTAATTTGTCAGAGACAAAGCAGAAAGTTTGTGCGCACATGCGAACAGGTTATGCTGTTAGCACATTCCAGTGATAAGTTATATACATCAAGACTATAAAAAGTATGTGGAAAAGACAAAAGCCTATTAGATCCCAGGAGCGAAAGGCAGAAGTTGATTGTGGGGTTTTCTCCCCGAGGGCGAGCAGAGTGTCAACAGTCTTTCGAATGTGACGAATATCCGACTGCAGGATGTCATACGGAGAGCAGAGGTCAGCCTATCCCGAAGGGCAGCCATTAGAACAGAAAAAAACAGTGCATAAAATTAAAAATACAAAAATAGAAAGATATTGATAAATAAATTATCACAATATTCTAGCATAAACATGTAGGAATAGTTTCTTCCTAGTATTGCCTTAGTCACCAGACACCCCAGCTTTCTTTTATTTCCTCTAAATACTCAAGCTATCGTATAATACCAAAATGTTAAGATAGAAGAGCTCAGTCCTTCAAATCCTTCCAAAATTATGCCCAGATTCACAAGGGTGAGGAGGTGCATGTGATCCGCTTATTCCAATGAGATCTGTACACCTTTGTCCATCTGGGCCTTATTCAAATGCTTAAATGGAACCAGCTGTAAAATCTAACTTATACAGTAGCAAACAGTGGGTTAGAAAGCTGTTAAAAGCACCAGCAGCAGCAATATGAAGTCTCAAGAAAAAGTACTTAAAGAAATTGTTAGAAGTATGCAAAATTCTCTAACACAATAAATAATCTAAAACTTGGTATTCAAATATCATCTTAAATGATACCCTGGGATGGAAACTGAAAAAGTCAATGTAGAACTAACTGTACTTAATTTTAATAAAGTTTCGAAACTGAAGAATTTGACACTAAATTCCTCAGGTAGCACTTTAAAAGTTATTAGCAGGTTAGGTTCCCATACCTTTTTTTGGAAAGTATCAATGCCTCCATGTAGCAATTTACTCTAGACTAGCTATACAAAACGAAGTTTAATATGTAATAATATCAATATGGACACACAATATTTAACATTAAAATCAAACAAAGCAAAAACTAGTACTTTCAAAATGCAATCTAAGATACACCATTTTACGTTGCAAATGAAGCCTTACTATCAACAAAGATGGTGAGTATAGGAAGTAGGAAAGAGATCCCCTGTTTCGGAGGAACACTATGCTGCTTTAGTAGCTTTTAGGTTTCACCTCCTTAATGAACTGATGGTGCACCCAATAAATGAAGACATGGCAGTTCAGATGTCGGTTTTCTGTTAGTGCAAAGTTTCAAGGTCTAGCTGGCAACAAATTAAACTTTAAAATATTTAAAAGTCTCCTTTATCCTGAAATGTGACTAGTGAAACTGGAAGTCAGAAGTATCATTCATACACAAAGAAAAAAGTGACACTTTTTTTTTTTTTTTCTTTTTTGCTTACCATGCCTGGTTCTAGCTTTAACAGGAATTAAAAGCTGCAAAATTTTAATTTTGTTACTTAGGCCAGCAGATACACAGAGGGGGGAAAAATACCGTGCCTAGCAACAACACTCATTTTTCAGAATTTTTTCAACTCAAAATTCTAGTGCGATAATAAACTTCAGTGCAGTTGTATTTGGCTTTTTCTAAAGGATGAAAACTCACAGGCAGAACAAAACATGCTGATCTTGTTTAAAAATGGGATAGGGCTAGTACTGCATTCAAGAACATCTACATCCACAAGCTGCTTACCAGAGAAACTAGTTTTAGGGCAAACAAACTACTCATGACTATCAACTACGTAATATACTGCACTTTTACCAAAGACACCAATAAACCCAACAAATGCTGGATTAATTTCGAAATAGCATACAAGACTTAATTCCTACTTGTTGCAAGTATAACCCCAAAATAAATATCTAAGATACACTGAACTTAAATTTATATAAAAAATTTGACAGAACTGTAAAACAAGGACTTTTTAATGATTTTTGTCCACACACCCCCTACCCCCCGCAACAGTCCCTACTGCAGTCAAATGGAGAAGGAGGTAATTTCAGAGTTAGAGAATGAGAGCTGGTAAATAGGCTGAATTTTTACAGAGACTGATGAACTTGCTAACCAGAGATTAACACACTAAGCAGTATACAGGAGAAGCCAAAGCGCACAAAAACAGCCAACACATGCAGAAGACGCTTCCTATGGGAACCGCCATGCTGTGCTTTAGTGAAATTCAGCGAAACCTGGGAAGCCTGAGAAATGTCTGATCATTTTTTCTTATTTTTGTGTCTTCTGTGACAATGGATAATTTGGTGTTACATTCACATCTTATTAAGGAAAATGTTTATATTGTATGTATTTTAAACTTCTGTAATGTAACTCTAGATAAAGAAAAATATAGCTTTTCAGTAATGGTGAACATATTTCCACTTAAGTTACCAGAATTTTACACATGCGGTGAAATAAAAATACCAAACTAAAATAGGACATCATGAAACAGTGAAAAAGTACATGACCCCCACCTGAAGTCTCAGACAATCAACCAACCACCCATCCATCACAAACACTGCCCTTCTCATTTAGGAGACTGAAATTATTACTAGTAAGAACTAAAGTGATACTTAATCATTAAATTTATGGACTGACTTATTATGTTTATGAAGCTACGTGATTAAATCAGAGTTGCCAAAATCATGCATGCAGAATAAACACAGTAAGACAGAAGTGGAACGACAAAAGCATGACCAGCTGTTTGTGTGCACAAACCACCCTCATTCTACATGCTCCTGCAGTGACTGTGAAAACAGATGGCATTTCAGAACCAACCTTCTCAAATTTTGACTCTGGTAAAAAAAGTCAAGAGTAAGTCTGCAGAAGTGCATTAAAGAATGAAGTCTGTAGTGCATATGCGCTATACCCAAAACACAAATGAAAGGAACCTCAGAATTACGCTTTCAGTACTCTAATTGACAGCATACTGAACCACTTAACTCCATACTGTAGGCCAAATAGTGTGCATTACCGAGCCCAGAACCAAAGGGTGGAGAAAGGAGTCATACCTGATAAAACTTACTGCAACTTCATGGATGTCTCATGATGAAACTATGGAGAAGTAACTGATTATGTGAACTGATCAGAAAACAAGCATAAGTGGTAACTAAAATATACCTTGCATTAAACTGAGAAACATGATTACTAGTTGAACAACTAATAGGTGGATAGAAGATATAACACTTGACGCTTTCCGTTTGGTTGCTTCTTTGGTCTGTCACTTTAGCATACCAAAGCCTCCTGTTTTTTTTTCTGTTGGTTTTACTTAATTAGTAATCCCTACACTAACATAAATCATATTGATTTTTAGAATATGGCTGACGTTGCAACATAGTGGACCTAGTTTTCAGAGGAGGAGGTGAGGCGCAGTAATAGCTCCCGTTTGCAGGACTTGAAAATCACTGGAAGGGGCACAGCTAAGCCTTTTGTAATCTGAATCTTCATATGATAACTTGAGATCCAAAAAGCCACTTCTTACCATCCCACTCCTTTCTGTTCTGTATGTGTACACCAAGCAGCTGACTGAAAATTGGAGAGGCATGGCAGAAGTCTCTCATTCCCACCTGAGAAATAACTTGTGCAACTATATCATGGTGCACAATTACTGACATGCCGCAACACAGAAGCTCAATAAACCTGCTGTAACAACTGGCTGTGAAAGATTTCATTTCATCACTACCTTTTATCAACAGATACTACCATTCTAGTATTAATCATGATAACTTAAGTCTATCTTTATTTCAAGCTATATGAAGACTGACAAGGTGTGTCTGTGTATGTGGGGAAAGTCTTTCTTTCCTTTTTTTTTTTTTTTAGATAACATCACCTAATTTTTCTGACCTGAAGAGGCCCCATAAAGGGCCAAAAGATGCTCAAGTGCCTAAACTGTTAAGATATTACATTAGCGTAAACTGCAGATCATAAAAATTAATCTGTGTCTTTGTAAAAAAATGAATTCTGCATTTTGGCACACAAACACTGAAAACACTTTGTTCAATTTCTTTTTTGTCAAAATGCTTAGAAGGTCCTACTTCTGATATGCCATATTTGTTCATCATTGAGAACTAGAAAAAATGCAGACGAAAAATTGTAACTTTTGCCTTTCAAATAACATATTGCACTTACAGCTTTGTTTTGGTCTAAATCTCACTTGTAATAAAGTATCATTCAGCCCACCACAAATTTTTTCCTTTTGACAGGAATATTGGTTAACATTACTGAAAGTGCATAAGAAAAAATGCTCTGTAATATGGATTACACCAAGAATAACAGCTACCAAGAATGAAAGCTAAAGCTTAATTTATTCATATATTAAGTTATTCATTTGCAGGTTAAAATGGGAAAGTCTACTTCTTTACTACTAGTATGAATACTGATTCTAATGTGGCAACTGACAAGTTGAAGGAATTTATATGAATATTTTTGTCTTTATTTACATATATAGTTACTGGTTTTATGCAAGAGCAGTTGAAACCAAAATACTTCCATAACTTTCCATACATACTCATGTGATAATAATTCAGACTCTTCTGGTCTTTTTTAATACCTCTGGGATGAGATGTCACTAAAAAGAGTAAAACTGCATTAGAACTGGTACATTTCACACTTCAGAGGCCACACAAAGAGAAACAAATCAAAAAAATAGCTTTATTTTTTAAACCCAGAAAGTGTGAGAGGGTGGGTGCAATAAAGGTGGACTGGGTAAGCATTATAAGCGGTGTCAGCAGCAGGTTCATATGACATTAACAATCTACTCCAGTGAATGGCGCCATCCAAGCACTGCATGCCATTCCGAAAAATGAAGTAGGACAGGCACCCCCTGCTTATCACACAACTACTGCCACTTTGCTTATTCAGTCTGTATCAGCCAAAAAGCAGGAGTGTTTGTCATTCTATCGCTATGACAAAGGAGATTAGGCAATTGGACAGTTTTTAGTTAACAATGCAAAATAAAGTTGTCTTTTGTACTTTTCTAAGTAACAAAGATTGTACCTTTTTTGTCATATACCTCCTGAGGGCCACGGCAGACATTTTCTGAATCTTCAGGCTTTCAGATGCTTACCTGCCACCATCCCCGCCTCACATCAAACAATAATTTTGTTTTGTTTCAAAAAATGATCATTTACAAAGATCTCTGATAAGGCTCTACAGGAAAAGTTAGTGGCAAAACTGGACACAAGCTGACTGTCCTACAATTCTCACACTTTTGATAGCCTACTGGTGCAGTAAGAGCCTTGCTATTTAGTTTCTTATTAAAGGGTCACAACCATATGCTTAAAACATCCCTTTTGCATATGATCCAGCATGTCCCTTCTGCATATGATCAGGAGCATCATATGGCCATTAACAGAAAGTGATTTCAACATGTCACCCATTGTACTGAAATTCTCATCTGGCAGGTAATGGCTTTCAGAATCATCTACATACCAGGTCTTTTTTATAAAGAGATGCTTGTGTTCCTGAATTTTGTATTTGTGACTCTTTGGTCAAGATGCCAACTCCTGATACTTATATGACACATTTGGATATGGATGCCATTGCATTTTTCTACACTTGGATGAAGTTTCCCAGGATCATTCTGGGGAAAGCAATTTTGACCCAAGAATTGAATGCTGAAAGCCACAGAAGAGACCATGCACATCTGCACAACACAGTAATTACTTAGCTATTTTCTTGTTTTCATTTTAGATTATTTGACAGGATATTATTCTAAACCTGTGGAGCTTAGGAAATAGCGTGCACTCTCTTCCGTTCCATAAACAACTGAAAACAAACCAACAGGAACTATGACAACTTTAAATCCTTAAAAAAACCCATGCAGCAGAATTTCAAGTTAATTCTCAGGAACTAAACATGGACATAAATATCACAGAAAAGCCTAATACCTATGGGTACTAGGATCCATAACTGGAACCTATTACTTTCCCATACGACGCTTGTTTTTAAAAAAAAAAAAAAAAGGATATAATACACTGCATTCTTTTTACTGGTTTGTCCAGAGGTAGTTAGGCAACGTACAACTCATCAGCCCGAAGCAGCATTAAACACACCATCTGTAGTTCTTTAAAAACTTTGACAGATAACTATCATACTTGCTATCATACAACTTTGTATTCCTAATACACGTCCCTCCAACATGTAGCAAAGTTCTATCATCTACCATCCAGCTCCGCAACACGATGGATTTTCACAATATATAGCAAACATACACATTTGCAAACTACCGACAGCTAATCAAAAAGAATATCCTCAGAGTACTTAAAATCTATTGTAAATTTACAATTGCAAGCCATTCATTTAATGTTTAAGTGAATGAGTTTTTCCCCTCAAGAGAAGTTAACGCTTATTTAGATTCATAAGGATAGTTTATAAATCAGATTGGTAAGATCTGGCCTTGTGCTTAATGCTGTGTGCAACTCTGCAACAAATATATTTTAATAAAATAAAATAAAAAAATCTAAAAAATTCTACATTAATTTCAATGGAAGCATTACAGAGGTGGGGTAATAAATATATTAAAATGTCTATTCATAGAAAACAAAATGGTATTTTTCCAGAAAGCTTACTTAGAGAAATCCAAAATAATAAAAAAAAAACCTCGGAGTAAAGGCTTTGCTTAGCCATCTGTAATATGGCACTGCAAGGATCTTTGTAAATTTTACTGTTTTATTTCCATTTCTGAAAGATCTCTTGACAACAATGAAAACAGCTCTTGGCCTTTTCTTTCCGAACAGGCTGTATCCAGAAAAACCTGATTTGTATTCTGATTCACTGAACAATTCATGATGCATCAGAAGACAACGAATTTTGGGGCAGCTTAAGAAACACTCCATGTCTACAAGCCCACAGCACTGAGATTTTGATCTTCTCTGAAGTGAAATTTTACCTTTAATATTAAATCATTCTAACATAACAAATTACTTAATTACAAGAACTAAATCAACCATTACAACTTAGAGGCCCAGCCCATAACACTGAATTCTCAAATTACATTTATGATGAACCATTCATTGGAGTTTTAAGATAAAAGTCTCCCCCTCAAAATTCCTACAAATAGCAAAAATGAACTGTTACTTTTGCTGTCCTCCAAATCAAGTGTTAAAATAGAGATAAAATATAAAGAATTCAAACCAAAATTCTTTCCCAGTGTGAAATCTTTGCATTACCATCTGCTCCCCAAGGGGGTGGTGGGGGAGATACACACAAAATATCCTTTTGTTTCAGCATTCTTGAAACACATACTAAAAAGAACTCAGTCTTAATTATATTGCCATATGTAGGCAACAACACGGGGAAAACACATCACGCATTTTTCATGCTTTCAGATTAAAAAGACCTTGTGTAACACTTCTACTTTCTTTTGAGGGTCATGTAATTTGAAATTAACTTTCTCTTAATAGGTACTCCTAGACCATAAGGGAGTCTTTGAAATATTCCCAATGAAACTCCAGAATTCATTACACCATTTGTAAAGATATTTTTCCTCATTAATGAGAATAAACTACACGATGAATGCTGGCATTCTTAAATGAAAAACAGAAAACACCAAGCACTGCAATCTCCCTATTTCCAACTTCTGAAACACATATATACACATTATAGAACCTTACTCATATTTACATTCCATACTTAACACACAATGGTTTTCTTCACATCACTGCAGAAGTGTTTCAGTACAAGAGATGAGTGTGTTATTAGTCACTTTTACAATGCATACTGTAGAGTACTTAATATTGTAAAAAAAGGAAAATCAATAATTAAAAAGAATGAAGTCCATATTCTAAAAGCACTAGGTAAAAACGCAGTTATGTTGTATAATGAAAAAAATAGCAAACTTTTTCCTAATTACGTATTGCCTAATTACCATATTCCTTATTTATTTTCCATGGCAAAGATAAGGAGGTATTGGGGATAATACTGAATGACTAATGTAAGACAACAGTTGCAATTCTGAAGTGCTATGACATGAGCCACTTAAATGCACTAAAGTAGTATTAAATCACATTACTGAAATCAATTTTTTAATCATATGTCTTTATGGCTGAAAAGCTGTAGTTCATAAAGTTATCCTTCAGCTTTAAAATAATTCATGTGTTTTTTATTTTTGATCATCTAGAAGTGACAGACTTAATTAAATTACCTCTGGTATCCCCAGTTTTCTACATGCATCCAGAAAGTTTTCCACGTTTCTCCTGCATTTGGCCATGCTAAGTTTAGGCTGTAAAAACAAGAAAAAATAGTTTATGGCAAAAGAACTCAATAACATTCGTTAAGTCAATAAATTAATCTATTGCATTATTCTTGTACTGATGCACCATTTCCATATTTCTCCTGAAAACAATGCATAAAATTCCGCTCAACTTTTTTTTTCTAGCACTCTAAAAACATCATGCCTACAAATACGACCTGAGTATGTAAGTTCTGGATGCCATGTGCTTTTACTTAGTCATTAAAGTCACCAGCACATTTAGATCTCTACTTGTTCACATCCAGCTTGTGAGGTTCTAAAACCTGCCTCTTGCAATGATCTGTGATAGACGACATTGATTTTCTGGACAGCAAGTAAACTGATAAAGGCTTTCAACATACATCATGGGGAGCAGACTTAGCTCTAATTAACAGGCTCTTACTCTAAATATTTTATGTACTCACAAATGTATAGTATCTATACACAATTTTAATGTCTCTGAAGAATAAATTTCCTATTACTGTAGAATTTCACATACTTCCATAATTTGCCTCACTCAGGACTATTCACCAAATAGTTACAGAAATATGTTACAACAACTCACTATTTTGCTTTCTCAATGCAAGATGTGAAACAATGGTAATTCCTGAATATCCACTTAAACCAAGAATTCACTATAGTAGCAGGGACTTTAAAGAACTAATTTTCTAGGCTAAAGTAATTTGAAGGCTGTTTCAAGCAAGTGAACATCATCAATATACAGTTGAAACAAAATGAAAACAGATTTCAAATATTTGCTTTTTGTTATAGAAAACACCACAAGATTTTTATCTTAAAAAAAAAAAAATCAGCAACAAAACTTAAGTTTTTGCCCCAGAAATTCAAGTTTTTATATTTTGGCAATATCATATTTTTACCAAAGACAGAAGTAATTTAAAACCAAGCAACAGTAAAAGAAACTCCACTAGACCATCTGAAAAAATGTCTTTTTCTTAACATCTATCTTTTTGGAAGTTCTTATAGATTGACTCTGAAATACACATGCTGTTCTCAGAATCGAGTATCAGGCTGCACATGGCAAATAGTTCCCAATATGTACATTAAAAAAAAAGGGGGGGGGGGGGGGGGCGGGAACACAAAAAAAAAAAGGGGGGGGGGGGGGGTGTGCAGGGCAGATAGTCTAAAAAACATACAAAACCTCTTCAGAACCAGACTGGTATCAGAAGTCTGGAACAAAGATCTGATTGAGAAAAAGACATCAATAAACAGAGCAAATACTAAGAAAATACTAAGAAAATTAAGTTTCAAGAAATGCACACACACAGATTACATAGATTTTACGTCCTGAAATCTTTGGATCCTTAGGTTTGGCAAGCCAATATTAAACCACTACAGCACGTTTCTGTTCCATAAAGCAATAATTTCTACATTTAACCCAATAGGAAGAATATCCTAATAAGTGCTGTAAGTGCTTTAGTTACATGACACCTGCTAAGCCAGGCATTGCTAAAGTTAACCTCATATTTCTTCAATCAACAAACAAGGGGCTAATTTTCTTTTCAAAAGTGTCTCCTATAATAAAATCTTGTAATCGTGGAATTTCATAGTGTACTGAACAAAAAAGCCTTTATGAAAAAAATCTGATCTGTTGCTAGATCAGAGAAAGGCAGAATAATTTTATTCACTTACAGATGTGTGTATATACACACACACACACACTCTCTATTTATATATAAAATATATACAAATTAATGAACATTTAAATTTATAACTACATAAATGTTGCCCCTAACATCAAAGAACATTCATTGAACAGCAACTGTTTTATGTAACCAAATATCATTTGGTAATAAAACAGTAATTTTTTAAATGTTCCTCCCTGCCCCCTGCAATATAACAAGAAACATTCAACTTACTACTGCTGGTGAAGGTACATGAATACTTCCCACAGACCGAGGACGAACATGATTTACTAAATGGCAGAGAACTACACCATCCATCAGAGCAGACCCCAAGTCTTCAGGCAAACAAATCTTTAGTCTTGTTTCAATGTTCTGCAAATGAATAACACAGACACACTTTAATATAGAAATGGATGAAGTGGGAAAAAAGAGAATATGTATCCTCATCTTCTCCCATGCTGTAGACACATAGCCAGTTTTGGAGATTTGGTTTACCAAGAAACATACTACCTTTTTATAACTAATTATTTAAAAACTAAAAACGAACCCTCTCTACCCTATGTTGGTCACTGAATTATGTAAACTTCTTTAAAAGAACTCAACACTTCAAATGCTGCTGTCATAATATGCATTTATTTTTATATATACATATAAAACCACATATGCATGCAATTAGCCACATGATTGCACTACATGTGGCTCCTTCCTTTCACCATTTCCTCAAGTCTTCTACTTATGCATCTCAGATTTTTTATCATCAGCACTTTGAATCAGAACTACATTGTGTTAATCACTGTACAAGCAAAGAGTAACAGGCAATCTTTCCCCAGTAGCCTAAAAATTACTTAGGAAGCATTAGAGTGATCAGAAAGACAGGTAAGGCAAGGCAAAACATTCAGATTTGAAAGAGAATTTTTGGATACTTGTTAAGTAAAACCGAAGTCTCATTGAAAACGATTTAATATTGCAAAATAAAGTATTTTAAAAATATTTGAGAATTTTCCAGGAAAAAAACCCTACAATAAGATTGTTACATATGATGAGTTTCCTATATTGTGCTCCAATCTTGAAAACATTCCAACACTATACTTAGAGATAACTCTGAGATGAACTCTCAGAGAGAATTACTTCCATTATCTTAAAATAGATATTTCTTATTCCTAGTTGAACCTCCTTAATGTCATTATTCTCTGTTAATACATTACCTCAATCTATGCTGGGTGCTTTAGATGAAAATAGACTATTCTCTTTAGAATCGAAGGAGAGTTGGAACGGATTTCTGAAGGTCACCTGGTCTAACAAATTTGAAATGAGATCAGAGCCTCGGTTAGTTAAGTTCTGGACATCTGCAAGGAAGGAGATTCCGCAGCATCTCCAGGCAACCTTGTTCAGTGTTTCACCACCCTTATTGCAAAGAATTTTCTCCTTATAGCTACTTAAAATTTCTTTCTCTGCAACTTGTGCCACTGGCCCTCATTCTTTCACTGTGCATCTTTGAAAAGCCTGGCTTTATCTTCTCTATTACTACCCTTCAGGCAGCTGAGGACAGTCGTGATATTCTCAGCACTCTCTTCTCCAAGCGAAAGAAATCCAGCTCTTAGCTTCTTCCTCATACATCCTTTGTTTGGGTGCCCTCACCATGAAGTAGCCTCCACTGAACTCACTCTGGGGTTTCATTATATTTTCCCAGTTTTTCTTTTACTAGACACACTACTCAAGTACTCACATGTATGGTCTCACAAGTGCCAAATGAGGGAGTGCATCACGTGTACTAATATGTTTTGCTTTCACCTTGGATTAATTCATACATTAGAAAACATTTTTGGTATATATGTACAGAAATTTATACATTAAGAATATATTTTGAGACTTTTTTCCACATCTGTTAGAAACAGGTTTATATAAGTTAATGAATTAAAAATTCCTTCTCTTAATAAACTGATTTGCCTGTTGGGAGACTACTCTGTATAGATCAGGGTGCTTTTTTTTTTTTATTAACACAGTGCACCTACAACACTATTTCAATGCCAGTTCATGGTTTCAGATTAGATTTAATTAAAACTGAAGACTTCAAGAAGTGGATCAATTCTCTTTCAATTTTGTCACCATTGAAGAACTGCTCTCTTTTTCAAAATCATCCATACCACACCAGCAGACAATTTGTTCCACTTAGCATGCCAACACTATTGACCTTTGAGTGACAAAAATCAACCAGTATTTCTCGCTAGACTCTATTGCTCAAGAGTAAGTGGCGAATTACTCTCAAAATGACAACTGTCTGAAGTGCCCATGGAGGTATACAAAAATCAAATGGCTCAAATGGAGGAAAAATAAGTATGTCTTTGAAGAAAAAGTTTTATGAAATGGAACAATTTCTGTAAAAACACACTATTCTAAAGAAAAGGGAGGAATGTATGGAAGAAACACCAGTGTTCTCACAATATATGGCTCATGTGAAGTGGTTGAGCTAAAGGTAACTGAGCATTTAGATCTCTAAATAAGGAACCCGAGTACTGTAATAGTTGTTCCTTCTTGTTTAGTGCCCAACTCGGTTAAGGCTGCAGGTTCTGTGGAGTCTCACTAAATTCTAACATACCATAAAACAATTCAAAAGCAAAATATACTAACAGATATGTTCATTCAGTAAGCACGAACTTTATGACTTACATGTTCTGGGCTATTTTCTTGTACAGTACATAATGAGATCGTCTGGAGGCTGCTTCTCTCACTAAAGGACCCAGTATACCAGTGTCAACTTTATTAATTCGAAAAATCTCACTATGTACTTCCAAACAGGGCCAGTCTTCTAGCTCCTGTCACCACTCCTTGACTTGTAATCAAACTTCTCACAAGAGAAAACAGAACTTCCATTTCAGGACACAGTGCTTCAGGGTGAGGGCAAAGAAAGATAGTGCATGGAGCTAAAGGTCAGTTACACCTTAAACCAGTATTACTGGTAATACCTAATACTAACACAGTGTAGAGAGATCCTTATTAAGTCTCCATGATCATGTCTGATGTGGTAAATAACCTTGTTCTGCTTTTCACTGTGAGGATTAGCTGAACTAATGCACAAGAACATTGAGGACATTATTTTTAGGAACAATTACTTGGGGACTTGCTACATACTTGTGGTAACTCTTAAAAGAAATGTAAAAAGCTGCATTGATGCTGCTGGCTAGACTACTCGCAGAAGAACTACATCCTACTGCAGTTTATTACTGCTACTTCCATTTTCTTCTCCATTACCAATAAGTCTGTCTCATGTAATTCCTGCATCTTGTCCTTTTGGCACCATCCAAGTTTAGAACTGGTAATATACTACATTCAGTCAACTACGCTGAATCGTCAACAAGATCTGTTCTGTTCAAAAATTCAGCAAGACAAAGTAAAATTAATCCAGACTGAGGTAAGAGAATGAAGATCTAAAAGGCCTCATAGTTTTACATTAAACAACCCGCCTTTTAATCACTATTTGGTAAGGAGAAAAAAAAGTGAATCCTCTTGCTTTAAAATTAAATAATACAAGACACATTATTTAAAATCAATGAATAATTTTGGAATTAGTCATTCCATGATGCTAATGACACAAGACAAAATAATCTTGCAATTCAGTTGCGATATCAGTGTCGCCTACCACACTTTCAGGATTTGTGCTGCATTTAGGAGCACAACGGTACCATCTCTTCTGTTGGTAACACGACATAACTGGAAACCTTGATAGGTTCAAGCTCATAACAGTCCTTGCAGCAAAGGCTGTAATTTTTTTTTTTTTTTTTTTGACACGAATAGGTGTCACACAAACAGCACTACCTCGGTATTGGCTGTGTAACACAGACCCTACATAACCACATGCAGAAATTTTTGCATCAGGCTCTAGCTTCTGTATTCAAGACAATGTATCAGGAAACCATCTTGTATATTCAGATCTTCAAGTGATGACATATTCATTTCATTTCTAAGAAAGTTGTTTCAAGCATTAGTTATCTGCTTTATCTTGCTAGACTGAAGACTCCTCCAGCTGTTAGGAAATAGTTTCTAGACCTCTCTACCTCTTAAGTGATTACTTCATCCCTTCTGAGGAAATTAAATTAATTCTTAATTCCATCAGTGCAAGGCATGCTGTTTAGCTGTATGTCATTCAGGTAACTTCCATTATTATTTCCCATTTTTACAAAATCTTTCCTGAAGTACAGACATCTGACCGTGATAAAGTACTTCAGGAATAGTCTCATCAATGTAATTTGCAGAAGTAATATTGCCTCATTTAACCTTTTTAATATTCTCCTACTTAGACAACTTTCCCAAAGAAAAATTAAAAAATACATTCCATTAGCACGAATTAATTCTACCAACACATACCTCGCGTAGCTGTTCCACAAGCTCTCTCTCTTCTCTCATCTGCTCCATTTTCCTTCGAATTGTAAATTGTGGGTCTATTGATTCCAAATTTCTTTGTGGTCTTAAGAACACTATGATTTTAAAAAAGACATATTTTAGTTTAAAAACAAACACCTTGATTTATTAATTTCTAAATGAAGCAAAATCCTTAGGCAGTGCCTCCAGCAAAAACTGTTAGAAAATTTCTCTGTCCTCAGGAGGACAGAAAAATCTGATCTTGGATTACAATCCTAAATGGATATTTTCTGGATATTGCTCTGAATGGCATCATGTACCATAAGTGGAGTGGATAATTTTTCAACCAAACCCTAATCTCAACAGGCAGTTTTGTCAGATGATTAAGCACCAGCACCGTCCCTTAGAGATTCTGATCTGTACAAAACTTTGTCTCTAACATGGCAGAAAACACCTCTTATTCTTTTAAGTAAAACTCTCTCCTACAAGATGCTCAGTTGTGTAACAAGCTGTGACAAGCATCTTCCTACACAGGACAAACGGCTTACTAGATAAGGCTATACTAAAAGAACCCCACCCACCAAACAAAGACTTATGTAGGCAGGCTTAGCCATTCAGTAAGTCTGCCTACATTAAAAAGTTGTATTGCAAATGTAGCATTGCACAAACTCTTCACAGTACTCCCTCCCACCAGTCCTGTATCACTTTGCCCACATATAGTTCCTTGAAATAATTACATGAAATCTCTGCATACGTGCACCTCTACGCTTCCTTTTTTCATGATCAATGACTGCTTTGAATGGTTTGGAATAACAAGATGATGTACTCTCAAAATGCAACTGTCACCTGTTTGCCATTCAAATTGTAGGCCAGCTTGATTATTATGGAAAATGATACCGCTTAAAAGAAAGAAGTGTTTGGTATTATTACGTTCCCGCCTCTCTGCTGAATGCAACAGGACATTTATTTCCAAAGCGCAGTGTATCAACAGATACGTGCTTCTTAACATTTTGTAGAGAGGCATATCTATAACTATGACTGCACATACCCAAACATACAAAGGCTGTTAACAGCTGTAGCTACTGTTGTTATGAAGAGTAACAATTCATGTAACTGATTTAACCATGCCATTTCAAAAGCATTACCTACTGATTTAGATAATTTTAAACTAAGTAATACATTGGTAAATTTCTGATATATATTCTCACATATATGGTGAAAATTAAACAATTAGAAATATCTAGAATGTTATTTAATAAATCATACAGTAATCATATAGTTTAGGATGGCTCTAACAGCAACAAAAAAATCAACTCCCAAGCTTTCAAAGTGTAAAAACTCTTACTCAGGACTTCTATTAAACTCCACAATTGTACTGAATGAAAATTTCTGCATTAGCAACTCTGTAACAATTTGTTGCAGACTGCTCCTAAATTTTTTAAGAGGTGAAATAAAAATCTCCAATCACATTCATTAAAACCTGTAGTTGTAATTTCTGAGATTTTCATTTTAGAAATAGTTCATTGTACAACTCTAATAATTGAGCTTTGCTGCCTCTCGCAGATGAAATACCTAGATAAAACCATGCTTGAAGAGTAACACCATATTTAAATGGTATTTAAATGCCACTGTAGCTTTGTTAGCAGCAGCAACATTTCAAACAATTCTCTACGAAAGCATTAGTTCCTATTTATGTTCAGTTTTGCAAGTATCAGACTATTATTATGGGCTTCCTTCAGTTTGGCCACAGCTATCTTTGTTTAGGCCTTTGCTAAGTCAACGTGAATGTCCCAAGACCTACTCCCTTCCAATTTCAGACTACAAACATCTGCTAATGAAAAGTAAATATCAACATTACTTATTCAATTCCATTCATGAATGACACATACATTCCACCACAAGGAAAAAGGCAGGCTAATCTCAAGGCAGTGGGAAACTACAATTAAAAGTTTCTAGGTAAAATAAGTTTAATTGATTAAAAAACAAAACAAACCCCCAAACACTCAAAAGCATTAGTTACAAAAGTTTCAGTTATCTACTGAATTTAAAGAAAAATGTTCTAATACAGGAAGTTCTGGCAGTCCTGACTCTTGCCTGCTTCTCTGCATTACACACGTTTTCCAGCAAGGGGAGCCCATACCTCACACACACCTGAAAGTCTATTTTCTACTCTTTCCAAGAGCGAGTTTCTGCTTTTTGAACCCATGGTCAACCAAGGTAATTATGTAATGTTTGTTCCAATAATTTTTTTAAAAAGTATTTTGTACAAGTCTGAACAAGTTAAATGGGTAATAGTTAATAACACGATATGTATTCAACATATCACAGTCAAGGACAAACTTCCTTGTGAAAATGTTCATTTTTGTACTCAGTTACAATGCACATAGGTGCACTATTTATAGCACATCAAGGAATTCAGTGGCCTGAGTACTTAGTTTGACAACATTATCCTTCAGGTAAACAACAAAATGATTTCACCTGACTCTAAAAATAATAGACAAAAAGAAGGCTGGAGTAATGACGGGCAGAGCTGAAGTCAGGCTGAAAGTTTATAGTTAGATTTCTCTTTGATTAATTTATTCAGTCCAAATTTAAGTAACAGTGAAGTTAGAGAGAGTCATTTGCTAAACCAAAGCCTCCACAATGGTATGGACACTGGTCTTGGGAGACCTGTCTGTTCCAAGCCTCATAACCTCCCAGAAATTCTGGACTTAGCTCCTCCTAGAGCTGTTGCCGGATAGTTACATTAAAGATGATACGAAGTATTAAGATGCTACATTGATGCATGGCGTTTTTATATCAAAGGCTACACCTATGCTAGCAAGCTACACAGGACTAGCGCATGGATCCCCAGCACTGGGCTGCAGGGATTGATACTGTTAACGTTGTTGCTCCCTGGTACAGTTTTGGTCGGTGCAAACCCACCTCTCTTCTACGCAATGTCTAGGTATAGCTTGAGGAATAGCACAGGCAAAGGACATTCCCCAAAGGCAGCTTAAATGCAGCCATCCTGTTTTGGAAAGTAAGAGTGCTCACGTATGGATTTGAATCATGCTGTGCCAACTAACCTCAGTGCCAGAGAATGGTCTCTGGTCCATTTTACTTCCTACCATAGGAATATACACCTTAGACAACAACCTTAGCCCCAGATAATAAACTCTAAACAGAAAGGCAACAGTCCTGGTTAAAAAAAACAAACAAACAAACAAACATAGTTGTAAAAGCAGTTTTCTGTTGTAACAGCCCAAGGTAATAAACACTAATATTTGTACTTGGCTTAAGATTTGAATGACACGAGACATTTGTGTTCCAAATGCACAAGCACACGCTAGTCTGTACTGCTCGTTTCATCTAGAAGAGTAAAACGGTAACAAATCTAGATTAACATAGATCAAATTCTACACTGACAGAAGTACCTCTAGCCTTCTCTGTTAGAATATTCATCAGTTAAACATCAAGTTAGCTTCATACCATCATGAACTAAATTCAGTTTTTCAACTTACCGTTATCACAATTCTTATATTCCGTACTCATTTCCTTTACAGAGCTGATTCCTTACACGTGCTGTCTTTTATGGTTTTATAATCAAGAACACTGTGGCAATAGCGAGCATTGTCAAGTAATGGCCTGAACTAAGAACGCAGGCATTCTAAACTAAATGTTGGCATTTACCATTCAAGATTTGCGGTCTTGGTTTCAATCTGATGCTTTTGACAGTTTCATTGCCTTCTAATACCTAAACACCCTTCTAATTTGGGGCAAGTGGAAGAACAACAGTTCTACTTTAAAAAATACATCTGCCTATCAAATATTTATAAACGGTGTAATTGTCTAGGTTCTGTTTCTTCCATCTGACATTTAACTATTAATGCAGCATAAGACCCTGATAGCCCAAACATGGCCCACTTTGCATATTAGTGCCATGACTCAATGTACTATGACAATAACACCCTGGAGAAAAACAAAATAAAAGCAGCAGTAAGAAAGTCCACTAATGTACCTGGCCTTCACTATGCACAGAAAAGTTTGACAGCTTACTAACAGTTTCTGTTGGACAGAAATGACTGTTTTTGCTTAGCTGATTGTTTCAGCTTTGTTTCTTCATGGATTCCTCTTCTAATTAAGTTACTTATGCACCTGCATCAATAACTGCAGATGGGAGCGGGATATTTTTATTAACAGTCAGTATCTATCAAAAAAAAAAGGCAGAAAAGACAGTAGCAAAATTAATTGCTGTTTGAGTATAACTTTTATAAACCCTTGAAAGTAAAGCAAGTAAATAAACCTATATGGGAAATAGTTCTTGGAGCAGATATCATGGGAAAAGTTGTTTTGCCAGACTTGAAAACAGTGACAGTCTTCACTCATTTACTTTTGATACTACATATTCTACAGTAAATTAACGTGCATCCTCCGAGGTATTCAGTCTTATAAACATCCCCTCAAGAGTACTGTCTTTCATCCTTAGCCACATGGGGCATTTGCCATATATTCAGGTTTCTGAAAACACAAAATTAAGTAAATTATATATGGAACACCTACCATTGTCACTGTCTCCTTCAGATGGGATACTGTAGCTAAAGTTGTCCCATGTTTGTGCCTGTGTAAGTGTGTTGAAGGAGATAGGAGGAAGACTGAGGGATGGGTCTGCTGGAGGGGAGTGACAGCCAGTCCAACCATGGCAGTATAAGGACCAGAGGGGGGAATAAAAGGGGGCAGCAGCATTTCATACATGGCATTAGGATTGTATGGTAATGACGAAGATGCAATTCAAAGGTGATTAATACAAAATGTGTAGTTTTTGAGAAAAGAATGAAAGATGGTGCAGAATAAAAAGAACGAAAAGTTACATGTTAGTACTTGCAAATCATACATTATATGCGCAGTTAAGGCTGTTAAGCTTAGCAAGACCATTGTAACCATAGCATTTCACACAACTTGTTTACAACCAAGTTTTAAGAAAAAGTACCCACAGATTTTACATTATAGCCTGACAAAAACCTTGACTCTGAATCAGAAGGTAAAGATACCAGCTGTGAAGTTTCAGCAATGAAAAGTTCAGAGAATAAGAATTTTAGTATTTTTTGTAACTATGTAATAAGAACACTTCCTCCCCCAAAGACAAAGAAAATTTACACATCCATATGAAAATATTATTACATTACAACTTCCTAGCTGATTTTGATAACTAGCAACTACATTACCCCTTGGATTCTCATTCTGTTGAAATATGTTCTGTAAATACATGTACTACAGATGTTTTCCTTTTGTTTTAATTCACTTGATAGTACATGCAGCACTACTTTTACTTCTTGCTGACTCCTCCAGCCATAAGTCCAAACCTACAATGTGCCCACCATCCTAGGAAAGTCCTGGTCCTCCGCAACTTTTACAGACTTTCCAGGGACAAAAACAGACATACAATACCTCCAAAGGGAAGGGTGATCCTGAGTTTGCACCACAAGCCTTGGCAAACCTGCACTGTAGACAGTCTTCTAACATACACAAATTCAGTCATGATCCAACTGGGCTCCCTAAAGCATGCAAAATTGCACATTTCCACAGAAGCTGCAGCAGAGTCTGCAGACTATTCACCAGATGACTGTAAAAGCATGTCATGCCTACAGTTCATGACCACCCATCAGCTCATTACAGAGGTAAACTTGTACAGCAATACAGTCCCTATTCTCCATCCATTCTGCCTTCTCTCCTTCAACTAGTCATGATAACACCTCTTATCTGTTCCTCAAATCCTTCAGCAGACATTTTTATTCCTTCCCCACCTCATCTACTCTGCACTTCTGTCTCCTGTCTTGATTGTGGCAAGGATTTCCGCCCAAGCTTTCCTCAAACCTCCATTCTACAGTGTTTCAGAACTGGACACTGATATCCTTAAAATATCTCCTCCCTGCTTATCTTCAGCACATCGTCCTTTCAAAGTTTCCCACCGGTTTCCATATTCTGACACAGAATTTAAATCTCTCCTTCTCTGCCCTTCACAATGATGTCACTCCTTAATGAGATTCTCCTGTATCTGATCACAATATTCCTTACCACTTCTGCCACAAAAATTATGAACTCCCTCATTTCTTGGTTTCCTACGTGTATTTCCATGTTTTATCTACTGAATCCCCCACACGAGCAACATTCATGCTCCTCAAACTAAACTGGAGATTATAAACTACCTCCACTCTAAATGCTAAACCAGAACCCTAAATCAATTTAAAATTACTGTATGGGTCAAAAAGCAGCTAAAACCACTTAATATTAGAAGAAAGTCCAAGGTAACGTTTCAGTAAGCACAGAAAGCCCCTATTTCATACCATTCCAAATTAATAATCATAAAGAACTTAATCACATAGACTTTCTCCTTCCCACAATTCTGGAATCTGCATTAACATGATGATAATTCAGACAGTGTCGTATAAAACTTCACCTTGAACTTCCCTTCACACTCAACTGTTTAAGAGCTCTCTCTCTTTAGCCATGCCTTTTTCCAAAGCCCGTTTACTGCTTCTGGCTATTAGGACACCAGATTGGTGGAACCTGAGAGTCAGCACAACTTAAACTCTGAGCAGAGTCAACACTGGTAAAAGAATAGAGATTTATCGCAAATGATAAACAGTCTTTAATTATGCTGGCAATTAGGATTCTCATTATCTTCCAAGGTGCAGAAAATGCAGTTTGGGAAGAAAACAAATGGAAGGAATAAATATCCAGAGATAAAAAACAAAGCAAAACAAAAAACCAACAGTAACTAGCACTCAAAAGAGGGAAAAATACTGTCAAGTTCTAATGATCATTATGTGTTGCAACAAACTTGAAAGACAGTGACGCAAGCATGTCGACAGATACTAACGCTGTGCTTCAAATCCTCTACAAGTTACCAAAAATGAAGAAACTGGATTCACAAGTAAGATTATGCTAAGTAAACAGTTGCAAGGGAACAGCTTTTCACAATACAAACTGCTTTGTGACTTTGAGTTTTGTCAGTGCTTCTTTTAGCCTCTGAAGGCACAATTTTTTTTGTTTGTCTGTGTTGCTGTCACCTTGTTCAGCAGAAACTATGAAACACAGTGACCCATTTCCAATAAGTTTTAAGGTTTCCCCTAAGGTTATGAAGAACTTAAATGAAAAAAGCTATGAAAATAAACTACAAACTGTGCTGAAAAACCTTCCTGAATCAAGAATTGCTGGACCCCTAGACTAGCTCAGCTCTAGGGCAATAAAGCAGTATATAACTAACAAGTACAAATTCAGCCAGTGAATAGGATGCTTCAAACTCACACAAAACTTGCACAAAGTTTTAAAGGAAATACAGGGAAGAAACTAGAGACATGGCAAGCTAACTAGCTTTAACAGGAAAAACATGCAGGATTCACAAACATGCCAGTATTTTCGGTCATGTACTACTACTATCTGTAAATTATTCTCATGTGTTAGCAAAACAAATTTTAATACTACTTTTAGAGCAATTCTAGGGTGGGAGCAGGAGAAGGAACAGTATGGAGCTTCAGTACTCCTTTGCAAGGTTTCATTTTGTTACGTTGTGCTACATAGCTAATATACTGTCTTTTTATCTGAAGTTGGACCTAAAGTTTTAATATTGTCAAATTCCCCTGCCTTACCATGGTATAAATTTAAGGCAACGTGACTGAAACTGGATGTGATGACGTGAAAGATTGTGCAGTAATGGCTCTAGCTCGGTGACTCTGTAGTGTGTGATATGGAAAGGAAAATAAATTCAGATTATCAAGTTTTCTGCAACCCATAGCTGTAACCAAAAGACACTATAGTACTGGCATACTCAAAGTGATTCAAATATATGAATTTGTATTGGTACAGTGCAGAAAAATCAACAGATTATAACCAACTGACTTTGGTATTCAATGAGGCTATACACAGCTGCAATATAGTCAGGGGAAGAACTGTAGGAGTTGTGCACATCTGGTCTTCCATCATGTGACTTGGAGGATTTGTTGCGAAGGACTGCAACCACTGCAATCCAGTCTTCCTAGAAATCCTCCAAAAAAAAAGATTCACTAGGCTATTTTGCCCTGACCCATTACAGTCATTAAGTACAGGACATCTTGGCGCACTGATGTACCAAGATTCAGAAGCACATGTTAATCTAACACTCGAACAAGAAGTCACGGACTTGCATTCTCTCCCACAACGCTGCTTGCAGTCCCTGGCAGCAGATTTCACTGGCAGCTCAGCAGAACACAGGGTACAGCCTGTGAAACCAGCAACACGGCACGCGCCCATTTGCCTTCACATGTCTTTCTCCTAACAGTGTTATCGCAATGTTGCCACCGGACTGTGCAATATTACTCAATGTTTTATTTTTTCCAAATCCTGAAAGGACCCATTTGCCCATCATTTAACCCATACTTTAAATATATAGAGGAATAACAACATCTCTAAAGCATCAGGAACATATAAGAATAGAGCGAGAGTTTAACAGTCCAACAAACAAAGAAATGCAACTGAACAGATCCTGTCAAAGTGTATATCATAACTACATGAGAAAATTAAAATATCCTCTTCATGAAACAAGGTTGGTTCAATACCATTTTCTTTGCTTTTTAAAACTTTTTTTTTAAAAAAACAAATCTATGGGTACAATTTCTTAAACATTCAAATGTGAAACTGCTGCCCTTATTGCCAAGAGATTTTGTTATGGAAACTACAAGCTTGTAGTGGTTTACCAGCATTTGATTAAAAGCATTTATGGTGAATGTGAGAAACCAGAATTAGTCTTAGGACACTGAAATATACTGAAAAACCTATGGTTATTCTTTAGAGGTGATGCGAGATAACTTAACAGTATTGACTACCTCAGCACAGAGAAGACAAAACCTGAGTTTATTTCTGTAGCTAATCCTGTTTTTAAAAGAAGCTGTTATCCAAGCGCTCAAATACATCAATAGGGTTTTTTTTGGGGGGGTTGGGGTTTTTTTGTAATATATAAACTGCTGCTTGTTAAAAGATTGATGGTTACGCAGATTTAATGCATTGCAAATTCATTAAACTCAGCTGCTGGCTGAAGTAAACATCTAATCTTCCTATAGCTTGATCCTTACACAAGCATAACTACTGAAAGACTCATTGCAATGAGCAATTTTCAGAGTAATGCATAAGTGTTTTCCAAACAAGCCTAATTATTCACGTATATTATTCAACAGAATTTAAACTGCATCAGTACATACCAATGAAGCAAAAATCATATTTCAATTAGTATGTCAGCACAGATGATATACATGTATGCATGTATAAAATATGTGTATGTATATACATACACACATATTTTTTAAACATACATACATATAATTTTATTAAACACCTAATTTATTAGTAAGGGATGAAAATTGATCCACATATAATGTGCCAAACAGATACTTGTTACAAATTCAATCTTGATTCAAACCTATAACCTTAAAATGTTCTAATCTTCTTCTAACTGTTGTACAGAAAATGTTCCATCACTGCCTTCTTAAGGGAAAAAAATACAGTTATCTATTAATAACACAGATGTAAAAATTAAAAAAAAAAAAGTACACACAGATTGGTTAATTTTCTTTCCCACATTACCTGATCGTGGCTTCAGGCCAAAAGGGATTGTGGCATTTGTAGTAGGAGACATTGTCGGGCTTTTATCCTTGTTCTGTGTAATTCAAGAACATAAATCTAAGTAAGAGTAACATCCAAAATATCTCAGCATAACTGACTGTATAAAATGCAAAAGTTAACAACACTGCACACTACAACTATTCCACCATAATCTGATCACAATATAGCCTCAAACCTATGATAATCTCCCTTTTTTATTCTGTCCTATTCCTTTGCTGGAAAAGATGAATTTCTGACCAAAGACTACAAGATATTCCCCCAAGCTATAAATAAGCTCGATTATTTCTCAGTTTTCTCCCATGTAATCACTTGGTTCCATCAAACATACATTTTTGTGGCATAGTACATTTAGAAAAACAAAACAAAGATATGTTTTTTCCTTAGATACCTTTGTTTCTTTCACAGAACTAATTACCGTTCCGCATGGTATTTTCCATGCAACACTGAATTTCTGCTTAAAAAGCAGAAAAGAGGAAATTAAGTATACACCTCAGAGCAGGATTGCCCTTGACCCTGAACTAGGCTAACACCTGCAGCAGGAAGAATGGAGTAGCCGCATGCAGGAGAAGGTGAGGTATGATCATCATACCATCAATGGTAACATAGAAAGAGTCCCATAGCCAAACTGCATAATGGGAATCCTATTTAAAAAGTGATTCCTCAGGGAGCCAGTAACTATAGGAGTCCCATCACCAAGACTGGTGGAAGGTGGCTGGGTGCTCATGAATTTGTAAGATGCTCATACGCAGTGCAATGTAGAGGGAGAAGCCCTGTTTCTGCACAGAAAATACTAAGGGGGGGAAAAAAAAAAAATCTCTGTAAGAAGCTCCCTACAGTTTCCCCTTTTGACCTTCTGCTGAGATTCGCGCTGTGAAAGCAAAAGGATCAATAAAATCCAACTCCTCTCTGAAAACTAATCAAGGACATGACACAACTGTGCAAAAAGAAATTGCGCTGAAATCCACAGAAACTCTTGTGGAACCAGGAAAACTCAAAAAAAGAAAATGTGGCAGAATGAAAAAAATGTAAAAAAAAAAAAGTTTTATACTAAACTACATAACTCAGAAACAGGCTTATCAGAAAGTGTATTTTTATACCCTAGTAAATCCTTAAGACTACAAGAATAAACCACAGGCCAAATAAACCACATAGCCATTACTGATGAGCTCAGTCATGTTTTCTGTGATATTCAATTATGGGTTTCATTTAGTATATGAACCATTCATATAAAACATACAATAGACAAACAAGTGGCACCTAGCATCTTACCTCATTGTGAGAGGTTTGCCCACTTGTATTCCAAACAATTAGATCATTCTGTGTGTTTGGGGGGAGAATAAAAAAAAAAAAAAAAAAAAAAAAATAGACCATTTCAGCAACTACATACACCACAGCAGAATATTTTACTCATGATACTCAAATACACATTAACATTTAATTCTTTTTTTCACTGAAACAATTAATTTTCATGTATAAAAAATACTTTTATCTTTTATTGCTAGTTGAACAACATTTAAAAAAACCTTGTGGAAATTATTTGCAGATTTGTGATTGATTTTTTAGTTTCAATCCTAAGCGATTATAACTGCATTTATAAGATTTTAATGTTTGCTGGTTCAAATGCAGTATCCAATTTTTTCTCACAGATTTTGTAATTAAACTATCAGCAAGAATTTAATATGCAAATATAGATTTTTTTTTTAATTTATTTTTTATACAGATTTGAAGAGAAGTATTCCGTCAACAATTAATTTTATAATTGCAGTATAACATACCTTTTGTTACCACTTCTGCTATGGTTAAATTGGAAACATGTAAATCACATTAATAAATATGAAATACAATCATTAATTCTGCATCAATCATAACTCAGCAGAAACACAGTTGACATAAGTAAAAAAAAAACAACCAAACTGTAATTCAATTCAAAATCTTTTCCTTAGGACCAGCTTTTTTTTAATCAATAAAAAAGGAAACAAAAATAAAAGATGGCACTGGGAACACTTGGTCCCAACAGTCACATAGCTTTCCAAAAGTTAGCAAGATGGGAAGGAAGATGACACACCCATTTTGCTTCAAGACCTTTTTTGGCTACTTTTCAAGCTTAAAAAAAAAATTCTTCAGCTTTAGACACCTTTCACAGTATTACCTCAACCAGTGTATTACCTAGAATGAACAAAAAGAAATCTTACTCCTCTGATCTCCGCCAGTTGTACCTGGGGACTCGCACGCTTGAGCACTCCTGTGCTGGGGGACTAAGTTCTTGTGACAGACCTGCTAGTTATGCCTACGTTGCAGGTCTAATCTCTCTCACAGCATGCAGGTGACTAGTCAGAATTGTGAATTTATGCTAAACTGAAGTAATTTAGTAACACAAGTAGTAACATAAATGCTTACTGTACTACACAGAATGCAGCACGATTAAAAACTTGCTCTTGCAAGATATGTTTCCATTTCATGGAACGTACCTAGTGCTTTCACCTGCATAACACAGTCCAGATCAGGCCCTCTACAAGTGTTTAGGAAGATTTCTTTCTTCTTTTTAAAAGGTTCTTAAAAGTGAATCAGCAGTGTCCTTGTTAAACAATTCATCAAAATACAGAGACCACACACATTTTGACACTGAATTAGCCTTATCTGTTAATCTCAGCAATGTAGTAAGAACTGTGCCAAATAAAGTGTGGTAACCTCAACGCACAACAATATAATGGAAGAGATGAACCAATTTTTTTTTTTTTAATTTGATATTTAAAAGAAAAAACAAAGACAAAATTAAGACTAACAAAATCACAAGGATATCATAGGACTATCTGACAGTAATGATGATTATACATAAGAATATTTGAAAAGCATCAAGATAAACCAGGTTCAATCTATGCCTGGATAAGACAGACCATATTAAGGTACTACCAATATAGACAGAACATTATGTAATTTTTTTCTCAGAATCTTCTTGCCAGAGTAGTCACAAAAATCCCTATGCAAACAAGTTCTGAAGTAATAACATATGCGCCAAATATTTAAATTCGATTTTTTTAATAGTTCTTCATTTCTGGATCATTGCAATGTACACAACACTTAAAATATTTTTGAAACTTTAAAACTGTCTTCTCAACCTATATACAGTCTGTAATATTAAACACATTAAAAATACTGCTGTTAACAAAAACTTAGCAGCTTATATAACAACAAGAGTATTTGGGGTGAGGGAGGAAGAGGAATCAGGTGTTTCAATTTATTGAAGATATAACTTTGAAGTGACTTATTTTTTCCTGAGAAATGCAACCACTGCAACTGCAATAGTGTTTATTGGAAGAAAAGACTTGTATTAATTTCATTATATCTGTTTTTTCCTGAGATATAGGTCTTAATCAACTTCCCATTTACAGCCAAGCCTTGAGATTCATGCTAAGGCCAAAAAAAAAAAACCAACCAAAACCCAATGGGCCTAAACCCACTATTATCTCCACATAAATTGACAGAACGCAATGATCAATTCCAAATGTTTCCACACTTTTGCATCTAGACACCTCCATACCTGACTCAACGACCATTTTTCACCCTGTTCAAAAGTTCTCACTTCAGGCTTTGCTTTCTCCATAATCAACTCCCTCCTCCTCTGAAATTCTAGTTCCTCTTCAGCATTTTCTCTCTGTAAGATAAATAACTCTTTAGATCGTGTATCACTGGAAATAAAACTGTATCTTTTTCTGCATAACATTACCTCAGAAGTATTTCTTACAAATACTGTGATGAAAAGTGAACAAAGAAGTAAGCAAGTCTATATATTTGCAGTTCCAGTGCTAACAGGTGCATAATGTAAATCTAAACAAAGTACATCATAAAGAATACCAGTTCACCAGTCAGAATACAGATCAAATAATAAGCAGCATATATCACACTGTAAAACTCCAAATCATACTTCATATACTCTCTGCAACTACAGTGACAGTGCTTTGGGAAAACATTAATTTTTAGTTTACCCAATATTTTTGGGTTATCCTTAATGAATGTACTGTTTTCCTACAGCAGAACAGGGAGATAGGAGGGTGGGATGGTAGATGAGTATGCATGGCTGAGCTATGAACTGGCATACATGAAAGCCGCACACGGGGGAAAAACAAACTAAGATGAAAAAGTAACTGATAAACCCAGAAAAAAATTATATATAAAAATATAAAAAAATAAAAATAATTCCATAAAAATATTAAAGAAGAATTAGTTTTGTCCTCCAACCTACTAATTTTTTCCCTTCCCTACTTGATAGATCAATAATTGATGAAATTGTTGGTTCATTTCCTGTCTCCCTCCCCCCCAAATATTTTGTAATAATGCAGTCATTAACGTACCTGACCAAGGGAAGACATCTCCATCTGCATTTGACCGCTATATAGAAAGATAAACAAGTGCAAATATGTAATTCATTGTGTAGAAACTTGAATATGATGAATCTAACAAATGCATTATTTTTTTCTAAAAAAGGGTAGATAAACACACTTTACTGTAGACTCCTGAAATTCTAAAGCTGTTGCTGGTTCCTTGGGATACAGATTCACACCACTGCTCTCTGAAATATCCATGCTTAATCTGCAAGGTTTGAAATAGAAACATCGCACTGGGGTATAGCTTTGGTAACCATTCTGTTCAGTATTTAATTTCAAACAAATGGTTATATGAAATGCTTTTAGAGTCATGGTTCTAACCTGCTCAGTGTTATCTCTTAACAACTTTTTGAAATGCCTCCTGATGCTTCACTATCACTAGTTCAGTCAAAGCAATGTTAACGCTTTCCTCTGCCAAATGTCACACTGAGCAATGGCTTGTATCAAAACAAGAGGACCTGTTTACTACCAACAACCATGTCATTATCTAGAAGACTGTAGATTTCTATATCCAACTTCTAGCACCCTGTGTTCAAACAGAAGTCACAGTCCTGGTTAGATATTAATTTACAGTGGATGAAAATAAAGCAGTGCAACAATAAATTCACAACAGACAACGACCTGAGAGGAGTGAATACAGGAAAGGGAATATAGAGATCTGAAACAAACATCTGAAAATACTGAAAAAAGTTGAGTCTGAAATCTTTTTCCTTTCCAGAACTGAAATGCTGCTTATGTGCACATAGGGTATGCAGATTTGAAACTGCAGAACACTAAGACAACAGTAACTAGACAAGCATTTTACAAGTTTAACAGTCATATTAGTTAGCAAAAATAGCTCCAATTGATATGCTCTACACTGAACTCCAGTCAGGGCATGTTAGGTGTGTCAGCATCACCTACTGTTTCAGCCCCTACAGTGGTTTCTCTTTCTAACTCCTAAGTGGACTTCAGTGTGAGATAAGGATAATTCTGGCTAGTTAGTTATTTCAATTAAGTTATCCTGACTAGGTGATTAGAGTTACAAAGGAAACCTCCTTGGGGAAAGCTAATTTTTTACATTTTAAGTTAAAAGCACATGAAGGCTTTCGTGCATCTTAAACTAAGGAGCAATGGAAGCATTTAAATTCCTTTGTGGGTCTGGATAAAGACACAAAAACTACTCACTATCAAACCCAAAATTTTCTCACACTGCTTTATATAATGCAAGTATATAACAAATCGCCATGTAAACCAGTAATTATAAAAGCAGCGATGAGGAACCCATGGCCCAGAGGACTGAAAGTCTACAGCATCATTTGGCAAGTATTAGGCACCCAGTATATCTTGCTGGGTAAGTCTGTAAGTTAACATACAGAAGACATACACTGAAAAGTTTATATAGCGCTCAGTAAACTAAAAATAAATACTCATATTTTAAGGTTAGAAAAAGTAAGTGCAGCCACAAAAAAAACCAACCCACTATGTAAAAAAACAGTAGAAAAATACAGACATGCATGTCATGATTAGCCATTTTTAAAAGCCACATTTCAAATTTACTGTAGTGTTACTAATGAAAGCACATCTGAATATGTAAGGAGAAACAGATTAATCTTCTGTATTTTATTGCCCTTTTTAATACCGAAAACTAAATATACATGAAATATTGGGGCAATGTTTGACAAAAAAACAAAACAACATTTATAAGGCTAACAACTGAAATTGTTTTAATGTTGTTTTTTTCCAAAACAGACTTTTTCCTTTTTTAATTGCAACACTTCTCCCACAAAGTAGTAAGCCTCATACGAGGTGCAGAAGCAATGGTATACTATCTCACAGAAACCACAGGAACTAAAAAGCTTTCCTAATTTGTACGACTTTTCGTTAAGTAAAAATACTTGTGATTCAAGTATTTAGTATATGATTCAAGAATTCAAGTATTCTTTATATGATTCAAAATAAAGAGAGATAATTGTCTCTCTAGAAACACTAACAGGAGTGAATTTCTGTCCTAAAAAGTACAAAGGTCTGCTAGGTGAAAAAGCGGTATCAAAATCGGCATTTAAACTAAAGAACAGTGTAGTTGCAAGAACAAACAGCTACAGTGAACTGGCCAAGGGAGGAAGGAGAAACAAGGATACTTTAGGCTCAAAATGACAAGGAAGTTTCTAGTCTTCAGAGAAATTAAGCTCTAAACCAGCCACCTCATAGAAGTAATGAAGAAAAATGAGTTACCTAGTCTTGAAATAAACTTAAGTGGTTACACAAAGAAAAGCAATAGCAAGCATCTGGACAGAACTACCTACACCACTCTTGTCAGTCTTTTCAGTAGGACAAGCGTTTATTTCCTTTTAAATACTTATTCCTTTGTTTATTCACAGATCCAGGGTCATTTCACCAGACTGTAGCCACTTAAAGCAGGCACCTAAATTATAAAACCTTGCCTTCTGTAGTCAGGGGAAATCTAAATAATTTCCTCTAGCTGCCTCTTTCTCTTTCTGCTTTTGATTTCAGAGGGAGACTACAGAAACTCCACCACTAATTCAGGTCTCCTTTATGTGCTCCATTGAGGTGGGATGAAGCTGGGCCAGAAGACCTTCTCCAATTCCCACAAAATACACCAAGCGTTAGTAAGTAAAGTTTATAGTCCCCTAGAAGAAATGTGACTATCATAGACAAAACTTCAGAAAATCACAGTAGTGTACACGAGATGAATGGTTAGGAGGTGTTTCCACCTCTAAATTTAGGTTTCTTTTAAACCTGAAATCCTTCTTAAGTTACTGGGAATCTTGCCTAGATACTCAGAGGGAGAATGCAAGTTTCCTTCTTAACTATCTAAGCGCCTCCTGAAAAACATCAGTATGCTAACAAAGCACCTCATAACTCCAGAGAACTTTCAATTAATCAGTTAAAGAAGAACTCCAAAGCTATTCACAAAAAAATTAAATACATGACATTAAGACACCAGCTATTGTAAGCATACCTGTTGGGATCTTGTAATAAATCTACTGCTTCTCTTAGTTGTTCTATCATTGCTAGATCAATAGTTTGCTCTTCTGATGAATTTATTCTATAACAGAAAAAAAAACATTCAAAAAAAGAGGTACAACAGCAATTATCAAGGGTAGTCTGAATTTCACTTTGTGAGCTGTATCCTCCAACTGGCATGCGAATACTATAAAGGGGGCAAAAAAACCAGCCTCTGTGCACAGTAGTACGTGCTGAATTTATGGAAAGAGTTTCTTCTGAAAAAATTCTCCAGCACTTTGTCCTTAACAAAGCCCCCCAACCCAATACATACATACACAAACAAATGTGATGAACTAAAACTTTCAGCATTTCAATAAAACTGACTTCTAAAATTCAAAATGTATTTACCAATATTTGACTCATTAACTGCACTCATCACACACGTTGTTTTAACATAAGTACTAAATATGATTCTTTTAATGGACCAGCATGCTTTCTTTTGCTTTTCAACATCTGTAATTCTTTTTGAGGCTTAGAAACACAATCACCTGTTAGTTCTGCCAATAAGGCTCTTTCAGAATAACTTCCCTTCCTTCAATTTTTGTTTTTAAATCATATAGTATTCCACTGTTCTGTTATTGACAACTTCACAGTACACTGTCATGCTAAATCCCTTTTGCTTATGCACTCTCCTCAGCAACTGATGTTCACTTGCTCTGCTCTTGAATTAATGCCTATGAATTAATGATTGCTTCAGGGTTAAAATTATGACAAAAGAAGAAAAAAGAATGAAGGATGTTTTCCAATTAGATTACATTTTTTAAAACGTACATTAAGTTTAGATCTTACAAATTTCAATAAAAACCTTTTTTACCAATGCCAGACTAAATATGAAAATACTTAGTTAAAAAGCTTGCATTCTACATAGGTAAAAAATATTACAACATTACTGGTGCATACAAATTAGTTGTAATATAACATCCACTCTGTTCAGCAATAACGTGTAAAATATTGAGCACACACAAAGAGCAAGGCTGTACTTCTGTCATGCCTACAAGTCTACAAAATTATTAACTGATAAGGAAATGTCCGTTCTGGTCAATCTAATTAAATGACACAGCTAATTACTTATAGATACATAAAAAATACTTACAATTCGTCTGTTTGCCATTGTGTGTCCTCTTCTATTCTCAGTAATTCATCACACTCTGCTGCTCTGCTCTGTAAGCAGACAAAATGATATTGAGAACTGAACTTTGCAATTAAGTAGGCAGATAAATTTTGCTTTCGGACTCAGCACTGACCTAATTTATGTAACAGTTTAGGGTGGATAGTTGAAGTAATCCAACACTTCTGCTCCACTCCTCACTCTACCCCCTTTTAAGACACTGATTATAAGATCTTCTATTCACTGTTCAGATTTTATTGAGGTCAACAGCCCTTACCCTCCTTTAACTGTAAAAAGAAAGTCAAGCAGCATGAGAATTCTTTATTCTATGTCCCAGATTTCATTTGTGCCTTTCTAGTATAGGCAAACAATGCTTCAATTAAGCACATCCCTAACTCTCCTCTTACTTGCTCTTCTCCCGCAGCCGGATTTGTTTACAGAGCAAGGAAATTCCAAATATGCAAACCGTAGCAATTATGTACTTCATTCATAATTACTAACAGGACTCCTACTTGAGAATTTTAACAGCCATGAATAAATTTTTTTTAAAACAAATCAGAACAAAAACTGCATGCAACAATTCATATCAGTCAGCCAGTTACTTTGGGTTCAATGTAGGCATAAATTAGAGCCCCCACTGTCCTACCTATAACTATGAAGTGCTACTTATTAGGAAATGTGACTCTCTTTTATGCTTCCATTTGGTCTTTTCTGTTTCATCTCAGATAGGCAGGAACACTGAAGTAGATCAGCTGCCAGTAAAGACAGAAGCTCTCTGAATGGATGTGCATTTGTACTCGTAGAGAATGAACAGCAGAAAACAAAAAGGCTTATCCTCTTTTGTGTCATGTGTTTGGCACACCAGTCGCATCACCCTGTACCAATAAATGCTATCCAACTCTGCCAGATGTGTCACTGAGGAGTGTACCAGCTTCTCTAACATTCCCCAAAGATGGCCCATTCCCCAGGTAGGGTGAATAAAGCCATTCTTTTTTCTTTTTCTTCTCCTTACAGGAATGAAGTACGTTATTTTTCCCATAAGAAGGGATATATCATAAGATGACAAAAATGCAGCAGTCATTTGAGAAGGTGATCTTCAGTCTCTGGGCATAATTATATAGATAAGATAAATAAAGCCATATAAATTAGGACTAACATTTGAAAAATTACAAAATCCTCCAAGCCTAAAGTCCTCTTTTGCACTGCAAGTTGTACTGTTTTTATGTATGGCTTGGTTAACCAGAATTTCAATTTTAGAAGACCCCGCTACTGTCCCAAATGGCATTCTCGCACATGACTAAATATAAATCAAACAACACAACAGACTCAGAAATCTGCACAAGAAGGAAAACGCCCTGAGTTCAAAATCCTCAGAATAAAATGGATGTACTACCTGTTTAAGTCACTAACTGCTGATCTCAACTGCTATAATATTAAGATGATATTGAAATTAAAAGAAATTAAACTGCTTACTCTGGCAATATCCTTATACTGAAATTCAATACAGTAACTTATATTTTACTGAACCAGTGTCTACAACACATTATTTCAGATACTATTATGATAGAGGACATTCCCAAGGGAATAGTCTTCAAATGGTACACTACTGAAAATCAAGATGATGAAGTGAGAAGAACAAGGAAAGGAAATACAAAATATGTACATAATATAATGTATGGTCAGCTTCGGATGTGTGTACTCCTTTGTCAGAGGAAGATGAAAGTATTCTATCCCCTTTTTATCTAGTTCATTCACCTCAAATGTGCGCACTTGAAAATTTGTATGCAGGAAACCTACAATCATTTGTTAACATTTTAACTATCTAAAAATAAGAAGCTTTTAGTATAGAAGCCACAAAAGAACAAGCCAATATAAGATAACGCGTAGTGTTCTAAACATCCAGCAACTATAAATAACTCTTCCTAATAATCAATGAGACAGTACACTATTGCCATTTTAAACACTATTGAATTCACATTTGTATTTGTAAATAACAAAAAATAATAAGTAACGTGTATTTACTATGTAAATAAAGCTTTCTGATAACTACATGTCTTCAGTAACTATGAAAGGGAATAGGGTAGGGTTTTTTTTTTCCCCTTTGTTTTTAAATGCTAGTCCTCTGTGGCTGCCACCTCAGAGACTCTGCAGCTAGCTGAAGAAGATTTGGCAAGAGTTTTGTTGCTAGAAAAAACAAAAAGGTTGCTCAAATAAAGAGATCAGAAGTCTGTTTCCAAGAAGCTGAAAGGCCACATCCTTTCTCTTTCCACTATTACTTCCTGCCACATTTTTTCTGTAAGTGATGGAAGATGGAAGTGATACAATGCCTCTTTGCACCCCTTAAGAATCTCCACAGAAGAAGAAAATTAGTCTAAAAATATCCACACTAGATAATCTCTTCTGACCTATAAATCAAGGGGAGACATCATGTCCACAGGAATGCTACAAAATACCACTATTTCTCAAATATGTTTGCATTATAAAGGATCTAGCAAAAGTATCCAGCAAATAAGTTTTCACAGAAAAAAAAAAAAGTACTCAAAATTTCTCTAGAATCTTTCAAAAACTCCTCTGTCTACCTAACTACGTTTAATTTATAAATTCATCAGGCAGCTCTTGCTATATAATAAAGCAAGTGAATTTCATGAGTTACCACGCAACAGCAATCACTAATGATTTGTAGGACACATATGTCTAGACATATTCCACTAAACTTATGCCACAAATAGGAAAAAAAAATGAGTAAATGACAATACGAATGGGGAAAATACAAATTAAAACAGACAAGAAGGCACAACAGTGCAATTTCTAAAAGGTCATTCATTATGAAAAACAGTTCAAAAAGAAAGCACATTTGATAGTTCCCTGACAAGAAGCCACATGCCAGGAAAATGCCACGACTGATAAGCAAGTACTCCTTAACCACGACAGAAAGACAAGAGTAACACTTCCAAACAGATTAAGCAACTACCTACGATATGACATGTGTGACCAGCAATCCAGAGCACCAGTGTTCAGTAATGAACATCTTAAGGAAACTAAAGTGGCACCCAGACCTTTACATACAAAAAAGACTGATGGGTATAATCTCAAAGTTTCTTATTGTGGATAACTTGTGTTTTCTAACATACTTCATTATATACACACACATATATGTTTTGTTATACACACAAATATACACACAATTATTCAAATGCACTTTCCTATCACCTATAGCATCTACAAAGTTCATAACAGAGTCAGTGTATACTCCCAAAATCCATCAAGAAAGTTGCCAAATCTTGTAAGAGGTAGGTTCCTAGAATAATAGAGTTTATCTTAGATTTGTTATCATTTGTCTTTAAAGATCTCTCAGTTTCCACTATGATTTTAAAACATATAAGAAAATGTATTTTAATGCCATAACATTATTTCATAACTTTAGCCACCACAGCTAACTCTGAAAGCCTTCTTGCATTTTACTAACGTAACAAATGCAAAAATTGCTCAATTAAAAATATAAAGCAACTAGTACAGAACATATCTGCCACTTTTTCTTAAAGCCTTAAACATAGTTAAAGGATAACTCTTACATATACTAGAAAAAAGAGTTATGGGTAAATTGACCTCCAAGGTTAATTATAATCACTTTAAACCTACCTGCTTACTTTTGCCTTCTGTATTTTTTATGACAATGAATATCAATTGCGGTCTCATTCATTAAAATGTCTGCAGTTTGTCATTCCTGATTGGTCTATGCTTATGAAAGTAGTGAAGATATTTCCCCCCATTTAAAATTGTCACAAACTTGCCTTAATGTAACTCATAAACTCAGTAGTAAGAGCATCCGATTCATCAAACTGGTTTCCTGTTTCTCTTGACTTATCATTGACAATCAAGTGAGAAGATCCCTGATGGAATCCCACTAATAATGACAATGAAAAAAAGATAGAAGAATGATTTCTGGTTCAGCTAAACATTTGTTACTCAACACAATTTAAGTGTATTAAATTATAGAGCTCAAAACCAAGCAAAGTTTAAATTCAAAGCATATTAAAAATCTCAAACAAGTTAAGACTTTTGCATTCTAAGGAGTGATGCCAATTAATTTCAAAGTTGTAATAAATCAATACCTTAGGCTCATAGAGCTGTAGATCAGAAACACCGCAATAGGCATTAATGGAGTCAGTTTTGAACTACACCAAATATGGCTTGCCAGTACAAGAACACAGCTGGACAGCAAGAGAGTATTTTAGGACATTCGGATGTCTCAGCCAGTGACTTGCAGTTTAATGCAACTTCAGAGTTGTTACACTATAACAAACACTCAAACTCTCAGCAGAACTCACACCAAATGATTCAGAGCCTTCAGAAGCTATGCCAATCTCTTCCTTACATATACTACTTCCAGGGGTATGAGACAGTAATAATTTTCTTCTCTGCTTGAAGTGGTCTGATCCTGTAACTTACCCTCTCCAGTGTGCCAATAAAGATTGTAGGCAGGATGTAAAGCTTTCACTATCTCACTTAGTATTCTACTAAATTCTGATGAGTATCTCAACTGAAGTTCATTTAATCTAGTATCTAACACTGGGGAAAGGCTGATCTCCTATGTATGCGGTTTCCATATGCAACTCACAGAGTTCACCCTGCCATTTAGCATTAGTATATGCAACCTTGGAGAAACATTGTTTATCAGTATGTAGATATAATTTAGAGAAATGTAAGTTACTTTAATAAAATTTAGATAAAATTATACTTTCTCTCAAAATCTAAAGAGATTTATTTTATTTCCAGGGGAAATGCTGACTTTGAATAATAAAGCTTTATATATGCACTAAGTCCAACTACAGAAATGGACTCTGCTTTTGTACAAGATTGATGCTGGTTGGGCTGTGATTTTTGCAAACTGAATTTACTCTTATACATAGAATTAGTGACAGAATTTCCCCATATTTAACTTCCACTTTTTTACATTCCAACCTTTTCTTGAGTTAGCATGGTGACCTGAATCTTCCTTTACAACCTGATCTTCTTCCACAATGTCCGACATTGGAACATTAAAGCTGATAGTATCTTCATCAGATGGCTAAGAAGAAAGAAGAGGAACACTGGTTTCAGCTCAAACCAAGACTGATGAAAACATACGTATTAAGAAGAGTGCTCACTAAAGAGCAGCAAACTAATATGGGAGAGGATAGCAGAGCATCTAACATGACCAAATCCTGCTGCAGTAAGGTGTAGTCATGCTGAATACATCCTCACAGTAGGCTTGCCAAGCAGCACAATTCATCTGTTGTCTTTTCCTGTCTTCCTCCCTGCACTAGTCCTCTCCTTGCAGTGACACCATTGCACTGTGCTGCTCTCTGCCTGCCTTCCTGGGACAGCTGCAAATAGGTGCTCCTTGAATATGAGCCAGCAGTGTGCCCAGGTGGCCAAGAAGGCCAATGGCATCCTGGCTTGTATCAGAAATAGCGTGGCCAGCAGGACTAGGGAAGTAATCGTTGCCCTGTACTTGGCACTGGTGTTGTGTATTCAGTTTTGGGCCCCTCACTACAAGAAGGACATCGAGGTGCTGGAGCGTGTCCAGAGAAGGGCAACAAAGCTGGTGAAGGGTCTAGAGCACAAGTCTTATGAGGAGCGGCTGAGGGAGCTGGGGTTGTTTAGTCTGGAGAAGAGAAGGCTGAGGGGAGACCTTATTGCTCTCTACAACTACCTGAAAGGAGGTTGTAGTGAGGTGGGGATTGGTCTCTTCTCCCAATTAACAAGTGATAGGACAAGAGGAAACGGCCTCAAGCTGTACCAGGGGAGGTTTAGATTGGCTATTAGGAAAAATTTCTTCACCAAAATGGTTATCAAGCATTGGAACAGGCTGCCCAGAGAAGTGGTTAAATCCCCATCCCTGGAGGTATTTAAAAGACGGGTAGATGTGGTGCTTAGGGACATGGTTTAGTGGTGGACTTGGCAGTGATAGGTTAACAGTTGGACTCGATGTTCTTAAGGGTCTTTTCCAACCTTAACGATTCTATGATGTCCTTCTTGGAGTGAGGGGCCCAAAACTGAACACAGTACTCGAGGTGTGGCCTCACCAGTGCCGAGTACAGGGGCACTATCACCTCCCTGGTCCTGCTGACCACACTATTCCTGATACAAGCCAGGATGCCATTGGCCTTCTTGGCCACCTGAGCACACTGTTGGCTCATGTTCAGGCGGCTGTCAACCAACACCCCCAGGTCCTTTTCCGCCAGACAGCTCTCCAGCCACTCCTCCCCCAGTTTCTTCATGAATAAACTGTATGTTATTAAATCCATGAATTCACTGGCTGTATTCTTCTGCTGAAAGAGAAAAAAATTCAAAAGGATATCCAGGGACTTGATAAAGCCTTATCAAAATGATGAAACTTTATAATGAAGTGAACTAGCATTGCAGTATTGTTTCTATTTGTCAATTTTTAAAATAAATTTTAAATTTTAAAATAATTTTATTTTAAAACAAAACAAATTAGTATCTCAAACAGAAAATAAACAAACCACTCTCCAAGTATTCTAAGCACAAAATTCATTAGTTCTTTTATACCTGAAACAATGACAATTAACAGCTAAAAAAAAAAAAAAAAAAAAGATATATGCAGAATATAAATTCATTCAGACAACCAAGGTTACAGTGAAGTTCCTTCTCTTTCAGGTTGTCTCATGTGACATTTAAGCACTAAATTTATTTATTCTAGTTCAAAGATTCATGTTTTGTTAATTTCACAACTCTAATTTGAAATTTTTACAGTAAAATGTTCTTATATGGATTATTACAAGTTCTGAATACTAAAACAGGTGAGATTTTTTTCTCAGCAGAGTAACACACACAGCTTTTAGGAAAGTATCTTGGAGTGTTGGTGTAAAAAAAGCCACGAGCCATTCAATTTGGAAAGAGAAAATCATTCCTTTAACAGGCTATGTGTCACTTTCAGGGCCTACAGAATTCTGCAACTGATTTTTCAGGTGTTTCCTGCCAGTATACTATGAAACAGAAACTATCCAAAGCAGCTTGCAATAATACAAAAGTATTGCTCCTTCATAGGTGAAATACTGTGTCTCACTTCCTTCATCCACAGTTTTATTTTTATTCAGCTGGCCACAGAAGATGACAATAGACATATAAGAATCAAAAATACCTAACATTATTCCAACACTGAATTCAGATGATGCATTTTAAAAGAACCTTCATATACACTTTTGCTGGTACTCATGTGTCACTCTTACGGGTAATAAAGCAGGGACGCCATCTGGATCTTAACAAGTACCCTGTTATTTTAATGAATTTTAACTAAGGAAAAAATAAGGCCAAAGGGAGGTGGAAAATAAATGAAAATGCTACACTGTTCCTAAAAGATGAGGTACGTGAGTGCATTACCTTAAAGCAGAATTTGCCTTCAAGTTGCTGCGATCAATTTTACAGCAACACTATAAGATATCTTTCACTTGAAATGCCCAAGATGAGCATAGCTCTGAAGAACTGACCCTGTAATGACCCTACCAGCAAGCCACACAAATATGTAAATTGTTCATTGCATAAAGTACTTCCTCCTATGTGTAGGGACCCAAAGCTAATTAGCGAGCTTCCTAAAAAATGCGTTAGTATTCAAACAAGTGATTCATTTAAGTTACCGTTTTTGTTACACAAATGCAAAATGACCTTGTAGTATTTTCTGTAAAAGAGCTGAAACTCAACAGCCACTTGCCTTCAGACTAAACTGTAGTTTGTTTTTATGTCTGATGTATTTATAAAAACCCTCCAAAAATGTGTTTTAATGATCACTTTATGACTGATCATCTAATGTTTATCTAATGTTTGGTATGTAGATTTCTGACTGTCATTAACAATGTATGTGAATCTGTATTTGCAACATGCTAATGTTGCTTGCGTAAGTCCCATGTATAACACAGGTATTAAAGGTCGCGTCAGAAGGAAAAGTGAGTGGTGAATTTACTACAAAATACATTTGGGATTACAGATCTCAGCATCTATTTTCTCCTTAATAGTAGAGCAGTAGTCAGGCGGGGATGGAATGAGTAAATAGTTCTCATATAAAAAGCCTTTGTGCTAATAAAAATGTATTGGTTCACTGTTGGTTGTCTTTAAAACAATTTTTTGCAGCATTCCTATTGCTACATTTTGATTACAGGAAAGACGATCTATTTTCTAAAGGTGTTATTTATAGCTGAAGAGGAAATTCTGGTATAACAGTTTCATTAACAAGCTAACTCAGCTTCAGGAAGTGTAAGAATGGCAAAACAATTGTAAGCGTCTCTGAATGGACGGCATGCTCCTACAACTAGAGGGTCATTAGAAGTCTGGCTAGAAATCACGATAATTCTGCTTCATTTCCATCTCGCAAGAAACTTGCTCAAATACTTGGAAATACCTGTGGGGTTTTAAGTGCCTTTGTATTAAAAAGACAAATCAGTGTGTAAGTGGATTCATTTTCAATCTGCTTTTTAGTAACTACGAATTCAGTATCTAAGCTTCATTCTTTATACATTTGTTTCAAAAGCAACAGAATCTCTTTTCCTCAAATGAGGAGAGAAACACTAAAGAATCAGTGTAAAATTATTTTAAGTAGCAAGAAGCCCGTTCTTTTATTGTGACCTGAATATTTCCCATTAGGTCAGACTACAAATTATTTGTACATTTCAGAAAGATCATCACTTAATTATTGCAAATTATTTACTTATTTATCATTATTTATTCAGTTCAACTCCAACTAGATTTAGTGCCCTGTTCAGCTAAGCAGTGCCTCAGAAAAAAGTCTAGGAAAGTCAGCAGTAGCTGCTAGGACAATGCTAGTCTCAGAAAGCCATCCTTTCTCTTCACTCAGTCAGACAACATAGTTCAGAAAAACTTCTGAAGGCTTATTTCCAGCACCGCCTAACTGCCAGAGCATGTAAATTCATAAAGATTTGCAAAGTTTCTGCAGTTCCTACACTACAGCAAACTGCCATAACCATGACACCACAGAACACACCGGGATTGGGCACGCTGAACTCCTGTTAATTCCCAAGAGGAAAGAGTCATCAGTCAGAGAGCTAAGAAGTGAGAAGCAGCCAGGCATGTAACCTGTTAGGACATTCACTTCACTAGAAAGAGCAGACGTGGATTCTGGTTTGGTCCTCATTCTCTAGATTATGTAAACTATCTGAAAACTGTAGTGAATTCTCACTATGGGTAGGTTGTTGACCATTTGTGAACAAGTATCTCACTGCCCTCTCCAGAAAGTGTACAGACAAAAAAAAAAAACAAACCCATCCCACTCTGCACCAACTATCTGAAAACTGTAGTGAATTCTCACTATGGGTAGGTTGTTGACCATTTGTGAACAAGTATCTCACTGCCCCCCCCCAAAAAGTGTACAAACAAAAAAAAAAAACAAACCCATCCCACTCTGCACCCCAAAAAAAACCCCAAACCCCAACATTCTCCTTTTATCTTTGTTTTAGCCATTTCTTAGCAAGAAATTCATGCCAAGGCTGTGGTTGCACAGTTTTGATGGCTAAAAACATATTCACATTGTTACCCAACTTAAAATATAGTCAAAATATGGGTGCAGAGGGAAGGGGAGCTGGACACAAAATTCAGGCAACTTACCTCTGTTGCCGACAAACGTTTATCGCCATTATCACTACCAACACCTGAATCTGAGTCCTTTTTACTTGGGTATATGTCATCAATGCTAGATGTGAATAAAAAAAAACAAACAAGCAAACAATAAAAAGCTATCATAGCATTTACCATTAGAATTCTGTCCTGGTTTCACTTAAATGAAAGCAAAATTCCAACCAGTCTTAATGGTAGAGGGTGAAATAGCCTAGGATGTTTAAAAACTACCCATCTGCGATCTGGTGACAGTACAAATAGACCAGATGGAATGGCTGGTTAGCCTAATGATTAACAAAACCAACAGAAATAATCTGCTATAAAGCTTGCTTTTTTCTATACACTAGGTAAAAACACTTAGTTACTAGCTAAGTAGCACAGGAGTCTGACTGAAGTCATTTAGCCATGGGAAAAGCAACTAAACTAGTTGAACTCAAACTGGAGTCAACTGATGTAATTGTAATCATTGATGCATTAAAAATGAACTCATATTTCCCTGCGGCTTGAAGTAGTTATTAGCACAGAAACCTGCTTTCGGTGCTTTAAAATAGACTTCGAAATTTAGGTTTTTAAGAAAATGACTGTAATAATGGCAACTGCTCTCTCTTCTAGTTTCATTACCTAGTATGACCTCTACTCATTTTGAAGTACACTATTAGATGCAATACACTCATCACCTAACTTTTTTTTTTAATATGCTTTATTATCCTCTCATTTGCAATCCTGAAAGCTGTAATCCTGAATTCAGATTGACACAGCAATTTAAAAAAGAACTTTATCAGTCTTCACATGAATAAGATATCTGATTAATCCTAATCTTAAATGATCTCTTATCAGTAAACACTAAGGATTTTGTGCAGAAACTGCATATGGAAATCCTAACCAGCTTATGCTTTTTCTTTAGAAGTGTGAAGTTATTCTCCAAAATAAATATTTGGTAATTATTATGTGATAGAGCATTAGGCTGTTAGTTACCAGCTGGTACCTACTCTGTACTATCCCCCTTACCCTAACCTGTATGATCCTATATGACCAAAATGTCATACAGGACATGATATTCCTGTCAATTTTCTTGTATACTAGAAGACCAAAACAGAAAATCAGTAGGTGTTTCCCAAATGGAAAACTTAACTCTTCATCCTGGATTCTTCCCACCTTTGGCATTTATCCAATAGAAATCCACAAAGGTGTCTCCACACATACATGGAGGAAAACAATTTGCTTGAAACTTTATCTAGATGACTGATAAGGAGATTCCAAAACAGGTTTTTTTTCCAGGGTGTTAGCAGCAACATCTCTGGTTTTAGTTACATCAACGGTTTGTTTTATTGAGTACTTATCTCCAAAAATAAGGCACTATCATACTTTCTCTGATTGATTATATTATACTTCCCATGTTAGCGAAGAAAGAGCTGGCTAAAAACTGGTTACCAATTAGCTATGGAGATTCTCATAAAAAGGAGCTGCTTCGTATCGAGTTCCTGTCCTTAAACGACCATACAAGATGCTATTTCCTAGATGTTTGATGTAAGACATTAAAGATTTTGTCTTTCATTTTGCTAACAAATTAGCACATTTCACTTTAAAAGAATTTCAACATTCATGTAGTTCTCTCTGCTGGATGGATAAGCCTCTGGATGAATAAAAAAAGCTTAAAACAACTATGCAGTGAATGTATAACAACATATAAATCACAAAACACAAGAAATTAAGACATTTAATGTGTTAATAGATTTACAAGAAAGTTCCAACAATTAATGATACTACCATCTCCATTATTTTCAATATATTCCAGTAGTCTACTAGTAAGAGGTCAGATTTAAACTAAGGTTCACTTTTAAGCTCTTTCCTAATGTGCTGCTAACTTTACAGAAGTGATTGTTAAATACATTTTGTTCTAAACTCTTACAGGGATTTCACTAGAATAAAACAAATTACAGCAAAACAAATCTATGTTCAAAAAAGTACACTCTGAAGAGCATCTAAACAAATGAAACTCTGGAAGCTAAAGATATAAATATATTTATTTCACTTTGTTCATAAGTTATTACATAAAAAAAACTAAGTGAGATTTTCATACATACCTTTCTTCCACAGGTTGTGGCAAATGCTGTTGTTCTATGGCATTAAGATACAGTGAGTCTGCTGTTTTAATCTGACAGGCCTGTACAGTCAGATATTTGAATATATGCACCTTACCCTTTGTACAAATCTGTTAGACAAGAAAAATCTGTTAGATTTATAACTAGAATGAAAGAAATAATTTATTCCAAATGTCACTTAGCATAAAACTCCCTGAAAACCAACTCATATCATCACAATAGATATCATGTAAAGGAAAATTGATTTTATTCAATTTTTTTTAAATTACTAAGAACTACTTCCATTACCCAATCAATTTTCTGCGTGTACTAGTATATAAATACGCTCAGAGAGTAAAACAAAAAAATAGAAAAGAATGTATTCTATTTAAAAAAAAATCCAAATGAGCTTTTCACTCAAAAAGAATTACAATAAAAAATATCGTATGGCCTATTACTAACCATAAACTGAATAAATATTTTCCAACATTTGTCAGTAATGACATTTCATTAACCAGCATGTCTTTTATACTCTTAGTCATGTTGGTTTTACCAGTGTGATGATGCATTTCACCTGCATTTTAGAAATTTTTTTCTTTAACTGCACACTTCTAGCTCAAGTGCTTGCTGAAACTTGCTCTGTATTTTTTTGAGTTTAGTAGCCGCATCACCATTGGTTATGAAAAACATTTCTCCAATGTAATAAAAACTCTCAAGTATTTCAACAGCTGTTGACCTAGAACAACTGTAGCTTTCAGAGATGTATAGTTCGAATCTACTGTCCAGTAAGTCAACAACAAGGCAGTTGTCCTTAAGGAGCAAGCACAGGTTCCATTCATTTATTATCATCACTTCTCAGCATGGCCTACAGCTCAGACCAGGAGTTTGATTTCCTTGTGTATCACAATCTATAAACTTCCACTATGAAGTAAAACAAATTTCACATGGATTACCTTCTAGACCATCTGCATATTTTTTAAGTTAAGAGTAAATCACTGTAGAGCCTTCTAGAACTGGGTTCTTATTAACAGAGAGAAAATTTATCCAGGAAGTTTCTCAATTCTCCTTTTCAAAATTATATACATATTCCAACATTAAGTTTCATATGCAGATAGGAATGATAAAAATAAACAGGTAGCTAAGTGAATGGAAATCTTCTAGACTCACATTGGTTCAAGTGGTGCACAGACATACACTGAACATAGCATACTTTCTGTATCTTATTTATACATCAACAACTAATGTTTGTGATGACTGATGTTCAGAAGCCTGCAATTGCAGAAGGTGACATTTTATAAGCTATAATTTGTTATCGTCCACCCAATATTAAGCCACAATTTAAATGATAGCTGTTACTTACTTGTGCTGGTGGAGACTGCAAAGGATTGTTCTCAAGCAGTAATACTTGTAACTGCACCATCTTTCTAAAACAAATTGGAATCATAAGCACTTTATTGCAGGAAAAGTCGAACTTTACCAAGGGAAGCTGTACTAGTTCTAAAAGTAACAAAAAAGAGAGACTGTGTTATACCTGTATTTATTTTTGCCGTAAAATAATGAAATATTTCTGAATAAACCTTCTTTTGCATTCAGGAAAAATACAAACCCAGGCAGGAACATCATCAACATTTACTCCATGCTATACTGGGAAATGAAAAGAGTGTTATTGTTATACAAGTGACAATAAATGATAAAATAAATACTTTGAAATATTTTTTTCCCTGAAACTCAGCTGACAGTTCCCACACTGCGTTCAAAGGTAAGTACTTGTGCAACTTAAAAGATGCCTAGAATCATAAAGATAATTCAATAAAAAAACCTCACGCAGTGAGTACCACTGAATGTTATATTCTGCAAACTCAAATGGAATAAATCTGAACACAAAGTAATTACTGCTTTTTAATCATATTTACTTACATGATGCTAATAAAAAGAACTACCGTAAAGGTATTAGGATTTTTTGTTTGGTTGTTTTTTTTTTTTTACCTTGGGGTAAAACTTCGAGGTAATTTCTTCTGACATTCAGTTCTTTTAAAGATTTCAGCTGGCCTATCTGCTGTGGCAAAGTCGTGATTTCATTACAGCTGACATCCTACAGCAAAACAGTAATAACAGAAATAATGAACTTTTGGCTCATAAATATTAAGTAATACAGATGTGAAATGGTAGCTAATTTGCTATTATCATTGTAACATTTTATTAACCTGAAAACATGCAACCATCTACGTCCTGTCTTCACAATGCAAAACTAGATACATGAGAAAACGTTTACGCATTACTTAAAACCCAGAGCGAATTCTTATTTGGAGAACAAGTTAATTTTGAAAGTTAATTTAATTTCTATAGAAACATTCAAAACCATTTGCTTAAGATGTTCTACCTTTTTGTTCTTAACTTTTATTCATATGAAGAACTCAGTACTATGATTATATAACCAACAAATGTTTGGATGAAATGTAAAACTGCTAGTGTGTGGAGCTGATTTTTTTAAAAAGGTTCTTGTTCTTCTGGAGGGAATATTTACGCAAAATTAAAAGAAAAAAGAGAGAAAACAGAAGTAGCATTCTGTAATGATGCTCAGGAAAGGCATATATTTGATTATCACATCACATAGTAGGCCATAATAAAATAGGACCGGTATTGTTTAGTATTATACAGATATGCAACATATTATTTTAAAAGGTACTTCTTAACTGCCTAGACAGGTTCTAAGTAGGTCTGATTTTGACAACTAAATACAACTGGTTTAATAATCTGGATGAAATTGGAACCCATCCTCATTTCAGCATTCCTAAAGGAGTAACTACTGTAAAGTTGAGTTGAAAGTATAGGGTCTGGCTATACTGAGCATAATTTCAAGCAACAAGTTTATATACAGTAGTATTACTGTAATAAATATTATACATTAACACTACTGCTAACAAGAAACTACTACAAATGTGCACTAAAGATCAACTTCTTGGATTAGGTCAGTCTAAAATGAGAGAGTTTTCAGATACTAGCTATCATTTTTACTGCCAAACCGTCTATAGTCAATGTGAAATCAAAAGGACATTTGAAACCTCTGCTTACAACCCAGGCAACCTGTAAATTTGAGTAATGTCCCAATTATGCTTCCATTTCTGTGTTAAAAAACGGAAATGGTATTTCATAGTATGAGAGCTAAGTGGGGCAATGCCAAATTTTCCTGAACAGCCAATGGAATACTTTTAGGACATTCACTCCCACTCTCTTGATTGTTTCATATGGATTTATACAGTATCTGGGAGCTCTTAAGACTACAAAATTTCTAAAAGTCAGTCAGATTCCCAAGTCATCTCTTTGAAGATAGTTGCTTTAATACTAGTCAAAAGCTTTACATTAACTCTCTATCTTCAAGCCTCTATCTAGTTAACAAGAAACGATAGTAAAAGCAAAACGATCTGGCAATGCTGCTCGCTGTATCAGACAAGTTTCTTCTTGTAACAGACTCTCACTGCTGCCAAAGCATCCCTCCCTTGTCAAAACACAGTCAGGAAATTATTTTAGCTTTTAGACAAGGAAATTAAAAATCTCAGTTAATGAGTGCATCTTTTGCCCAAGTTGCCACAAAGTATGGTTAATTGCACTGTTCCCAGAGCATTTATTTTTAAAGCTTTACTGTCCTATTTTTTAATTTACAGACTTCAAACAACTTCATAATTAGATACTCAATTTTTAGAGCACAGAATTTAAATTTAAAGTCACCTTGGGGCAGAGAAACTCCAGACCAAGTATACTTATGCACACCCATCAGAACAAGTCACGGCGGGGGGGAGAGCCTGGCAGCGTGTAGGCTCAAAAACAAAGCCTACTTACAACCTTTCAAAACATCCTCAATAAGACTGATCTGTTGTGACAGCATGTCAGCATTTACAAGATCTCTGGAGACAATAGTATCCTTTATCCTACTAAACACTGCAATCCAACATTTTTTTTTTAATTACTTTGTTTGAATAGCCATGGAAAATAAAGACCTATAACATTATTTCTAGTTATACATATGGTCTTGCCTATTATTAGAATTCATGAGTGTGTATGTGACAGAGACTGTGTTTATCCTTCCCATTACTTTGGCAGTAATGGAAGCAATACTAAAGTCAAATGCCTATGGTTTTCCGGCTAATAATTTTTTAAAGGAACTAGATAACCAGCAGTTTGGAACTTTGCTTCAGGGACATCTTCAGACAACTGAAATGAAGTCCAAACACCTACTCAGGTTCCAGGGGCTAGTGTTTGCTGAAGGTCAGACTTTCTGCATTAATTCTATTTCATCCTGCCATGACAACACAGACACAACTTCTCAAGATTAGAGAAATGCAAAGCGTATTTAAATTGCACATTGAGTTCTGTGGCATGAAGCTCAATGGCGTGAAAACAAATAAAAAACATCAACATTTTTCTTTTGTTTATGGTAAAGTTTAAATGGTCTTAAGCCAATAAAATTCAGCATAATATAAACATAAAAGCAAATACGGTACTCTGGCTCCATATTACCATATTTATTGAAACACAGGACTTTATCCAAACCATCCAAATTGAGGTAAACTTCCTCCTTACATCCATTTTAAAACTCGGGACTCCTGACTGAGCTCTTATTCCTAAAAAGCACATGGATTCTGTCAGAGCTTGTGACACACAAGCCATACTGAATGGTAAAAAGAAGTTACATGGTGCATGAGCACATGGAAACAGAAGGCAGCAGGTCCGACTTGGTCAGTCTGCTGGCCCAGATTAGATAAACGAGGGACCTAAATTCCAGCTGAGAGACTTAAAGGCTTCCAACATGAGACAGGAGCGTCCCAAAGATGGAGAAGGCTGTTCCCTGAAGAAGGCAGAAGTGCAATGCTGCCTGATAGGATGGAAAACAGAATTTTACTGTACATCTGATAGCTTTGGGTGCAATTAATGAGTTAAGTCTGCCCAATTACTTTTCTTTGATGGAAAGTAAGGTTCAGATTGTCTTCACACCAGTTTTGCACTCATCCTCCTGGCTGACAGTAGAGGTATGATCGAGTTATGCAGCGGCAAATAAAAGTAAGTTTCCCAACCAAATTTTGCAAATAATTCTAATATATCCTGCAGGTAGAATAATTTATAAGTTATTTTGAAGCCTGTAAGATAGCTGTCACATCTATATAACCCAGAACCCTAAAATTTAAAAGAATACCTGAAAAATTACAGCATGTAATATCTAAGCCATTCTATGCTATAAATATGAAATTTATATAAATATACATGTAGTAGAAAAAGAATCACCTACCCCATTTTGGAGGTGAGAGGGAAGAAAGTAGTTAGTTGGAAAGATCTGACCTAATTTGCAGCAAACTATGCTTGTGTCATTCAAGAGTGACTACAGAGGTAAAATTTGTTTGATAACAACCAAAAAAACCCCACAGATTTTACTGCATGCAGCCTGTGAAAAGCTGTAAAACACTCTGCAAACCTGAGGGTGCTTGGCAAAGTCCTGGTAATACAAGAATTGAATGCAGTCAGGTGGCATCTGTCACTTCCCAGGACCGATCCCCTGGGCCAGCTCAGCACCAGCACTGCGAATGTCCCAAAACAACAGCACGCCCTGCCAGAGGGCTGGGCGGTGGTATCGCTTGAAGGCCACATGCTGTTCAGGCTGACATCGCTCTCACACAGCTGAATGTTTTGTGCAACAACAGCAGCATGACTTAATCTTTATTTTTTTTTCCTTTTTTTTTTTTTTTATTTTTTCAAGAGTGACTACAGAGGTAAAATTTGTTTGATAACAACCAAAAAAACCCCACAGATTTTACTGCATGCAGCCTGTGAAAAGCTGTAAAACACTCTGCAAACCTGAGGGTGCTTGGCAAAGTCCTGGTAATACAAGAATTGAATGCAGTCAGGTGGCATCTGTCACTTCCCAGGACCGATCCCCTGGGCCAGCTCAGCACCAGCACTGCGAATGTCCCAAAACAACAGCACGCCCTGCCAGAGGGCTGGGCGGTGGTATCGCTTGAAGGCCACATGCTGTTCAGGCTGACATCGCTCTCACACAGCTGAATGTTTTGTGCAACAACAGCAGCATGACTTAATCTTTATTTTTTTTTCCTTTTTTTTTTTTTTTACTCATTTTAGAACAATGATCACCTTATTATCTAAACTGCATTATATTATATATGCCAATACAGATGCTGGCTCTCAATCCTACCACTATTTGCTTCTCCCAATACATCACAGTTTAGTCATTTCCAGCTAAATAATGCAACTCATCTCACTGGAAATATACCAAACACTTCGGTGGCATCAAACCAAGTAATCAGGTCATCTGAACAGAACCATGCTCAATTTAACAAAAACTTGTTATTCACTCCCCCCCGCCCTTCTATCGCAAAGAACTAGCATCAGACCTTCTTCAGCTTTCATAATTCTTCCAGGCTACCAAATTGACATGTTGCTATAGCCTCTCATTTGAAATATTTTTAGAGCAGGAATTGTTGTGTTCATGACAAGAGTAACACCGAAATTATATTGTAACTGGAAAGCGATATGAAAATCCAGTATTCCAGAAGTTAATCCAAACATATGATTTGTTTTAAAAAAACAAACAAACCAACCCTATCTCCTTTGAATATAAGCTACATTGATTTTCAAGCTTTTTAGTTTTTAACTTTTCAAACATCTCAAATAAGGATAAGGGCTACTATTAAACTAAATACAAACTCTTACTAACCAATGAAACGCTTCCAGCATCAGCAATGCTAGTTCACCTTACTGGGAGGGTTCAAACTTGAAATTGGAGGGGAAATTAGATACAAAAGCACTTCAGCAGCTCTTACTGAAAATATTGTCACAGGCCTCAGTTAACACAAATAAAATGAGTGATTTTGACCAGACAGAATCAGGACAAGTCTTTCAATTATTTCATGAGCCCCTCACCACTATGCTAGGCTACATTTAAACTAGGAGCAATCAAGAGCTAACAGGTTCCAAACTTTGTTTATTATCTATTCAGTCATTCTAACCCCTAAATTAGGATGTGTTTAATACTGTTCAACTTTAATTATATATAGAACTGGAACCATAATCTTTTATTGAATCTATTTTAAGCACAATAGAAACAATACTATAGCCTAACACATTTTTTTTTTAAGGTTAATTAAATCAAAACCATTTCAGTAACCTAATTAAACCCAAACCCACACACACAAATAAACTATTTGATAAGATAAATTAATAATGCTCACCAAACAAAACAAAACAAACTTGGTAGTCTTTAGCTCAGGTATTACCCAGAAAGGAAAAGGTAACTACCCCCCAATCCTCACCAATAGCTAGATCACTTGTAATAATAGAATAGAAGCCTGATACCACAGGATGCTGTACAAAAAGAATACTAGAAGAAAAAAAGCCCCATAGTTGCCACTCCACAAATGAAGAACCAGTAACAGGACTGGGGCCTAAAGCAAGGTCAGCTCAATTTCTGGAACATAATTTAGTGGACAGTAATTTACTGTTATAAAAATAATAATATGATAAGCAGGCACTTTCAGATACCGAAAAGACGTGCAAGACAAACGCAGTCAATGGAGATATCAGCAGTTGGAAAAAAGTTCAAATATCATTGTTTTACTATGCATAAATTAGCAGTGTAAAAATGTAGCTTATTTGTCAATTTGTATTGTAAGAGGTCAAGGTGAACAGAAATAACCAGACCACCTAATGCCTATGCTACAGAGAATTCAGAGTCTCAGCCTACAATACACAAAAGAGGAAGATAAAGGGAGAGAAAGGGAAGCATTCTTTTATATACATTTTCCACATGCAAACTTCAAAAAAACATGTGCAATTAAATTAATTTTAAGTTAAGGTACAAAATAATTTTTGCCTTTTCACATTCTTGTTTATTAGGCAATATATTATGGATGATCTACTGCTTGCAGAAACAGTAGTCAAGTGGACAGCTTTGAAAACAAGAGGAATATAATCGTTTTGTAAATCTGTTTAGATGGGTGTTCCAGGAAAGGAAGGTTGCATGATAAAAACAGTGAAATAAAATGAAAATAGACTGAGAAGACCAGTATCACTAGTGGAATGCAATGAGGTAAGCAGAGAGTAATAACAGAGAGAAAGGAAGCAGAAGGGGAGGGCACTACAGTGGGGCATACAGCTTTGCAGAGGCTGATGCCAGGGCTAGGGCCTTGAGACAGCAAAACAGGGAGCCAGCGCAAGTGGTGGGTATAAGTGGTAAAGATGATGAACTTAGAAGCTGAGTTTTGAACGAACCAAGGGCAGTGACATTGTTTAGAAGGGTCCTGAAGAACATAAAGGAAACTGATACTGTGTTACTACCCAACACACTTGAGAAGTTAATTTTTTAACCTGCATTATAGTATTAGGCATTTGTCCAAATAGATTTGCAAAGTGAATTTTACTGTTTCTAGTTAAATACAAACGAAGCCAAAATATAAAAAATAAAAAAAGATGAGTAACATACCAGTTCCATTAACTGTTTTAGCTGACCTATCTCTTCCGGAAGGGAACCTAGCTTATTGTTACTTGCAATTAAGACTTTTAGAGGAAGACCACACAGGCAAGCTGGCAAAGAAGAAAGCTGATTTCGACTGCAACAAAACAAAACAAAACAAAAAACCATCATTAAAAACACCAGTGACATTCTACTGCATACTGAGAGTTGTAAAATTCCTTCATTTTGATGGGTCAGATTTTATGCAGATAGAATTTAATTTTTCGAATGGCAATCATTAAGAAAACACTTGCACATCAAAAATATCTGCATTATTGACTAAACAGTAGTGGGGAATATTACCACTCTGGAAAAAATGCATTATATCAGTTTAATAATATTGTAACAAGTCTGGTTGTCACCTAGAACAGCCAGCTGTTTTTCCCTTCCTAATCAATACAAGAAAGTCAGCTGAGACAGTATTTTGCAAGTATTTAAACATTCCTATGTTTTTTTGTGGCAGTATAGTGAATGTCTTTTCTTCCAACTGAAAGACAAATAAATAAATTACAGATAAAACAGTTTTCTCAATTACTTTAAAGCACACTTATAGTTGAAGATTACTCGGTACTTGTTGTTCTACGATGCTATGATATTAACCCAGGTAAATACAGCGAAAAACTCTGTGACCATCAATGGTTCATTTCTTTCCAAGACTCATACTGACTGATTTTATCTCTGTATCTTACTTTTTCCTAAAATTGATAAAAATAGTTTTTTTAAGTGACTGACATGTCACTTTATTCTTCATACCATATTTCTGGGGGAAGAAAAAAAAGTGAGCAGAAGATTTTCATGAAGAGGAGTTGCAAGGAAAGGCAAAATTTGGTAGAAAACTTTCAAAAGATTTAGGTTCTCATTCTAGTAACAATTACTCAAGAAGCTAGAACTTAAAGATGACAAATGCCATGACTCCAGATGATTAAAAATAATAATTTCTTGTGATTTGTAGATCAATTCCCAGAAGAAACTTTAAGCTAAACAGAATAACATATTAACTACTGTCTTTCCTAGAATATTTGAAGGTTTTCTTAAAATATAACTTTTTCTTTTTTATAGGCATTAACCTGTAGGAAAACAATGAACAGTAACTTAAAGTGGCACCCTAGTAAGAACCATTTTATTTAGCTTCTACATGACTGTTAAGGCTCCAGAGAACAAATATGCATGACTGAACTCTGAAAACAGACGGCAAAAATCATCCTGTGTAATTTCAGTAACAGTTGCAACATTGAATTGAAACAAAAGGAAACAAAAATCAAAATTTCTCAAGTCTCGAAACATTTCTTCTTCAACTGCCAGGCCAGTGGTCTGCTACAAAACCTCATATGAAGACATATATTCATGCTCCACAGTCTCAAAATGTTTTACAAAACAAACTGTCATCATCTCTCTCTTACACAGGCTAGGAGACAGACAGGTATCAAATAACAAACCCAAGGATTTTAAAAATGAGAAATCCAACTACTAACCAGTAGTAGCTGAAAAAAAGAATCAATGCTTATTGTGGAGTCAAGATTCACAATTCCAGCATCTTTACAGAAGACCAAGACATAACTTATTCTAAAAAAATAAGTAGAAATAATTTTTTTAAGTTCTAAAGAACTCAAATCAAGGAAGCCTAGAGTCTAAAAAGTTACACTACACAGCAGATCAGACACCAAAAAAAAAGGTAAAAATAATTTTTAAGTTCTATAGAACTCAGAAGCAACCCACTAAGAGATAAGGAACAGCACATAACCAGGGCAAGTGAATAATAAATCATCATTAGTTTAAAAGGAATTTCTTTAAATAAAACATGAACAGTAACCACCAAGGCCCAAAGACTATGCATACCTCTTGGCATCACTTTCTAATTCTATTTAACATATGGGCCCTGCTGGTAACAGCCAGAAAAATATTCATTTTAAATCTACAATATTTTTCTTGCCACGAAGCAACATGGTTAGCAAGTCAAGGATATCTTTCCTTCTTCTACAGACTGCTTACTGTGTTCAGCTAACGCAGGGGAAGGGCACATCCAACTGAAGAGGAGATTTTAAACTGAGGGAAATTACCTCACTTAGTAAAACTTGAAAAATTTCCTTTTGTTTTGATTGTATCATTTACTGTGATACATGATATTAACTCTGTAACTATTCTGGGTTTGTCATGATTCACACAAATTCCATCACTACATTGAGTTCTAAATTCACTAGTTCACTACATTGAGTTCTAATTGAGTTCATTCTAATTCCTAAATTTACTACGATGTTTTATGTAAACTTAATAATTTCATCCATTCTTAATTTCTTTATGTATATCTAACAAACACTATTTCAAAATTTCAAGTCTTTCCATGTGTGCAGATATCAGGACACATTATTGTGTTTCAATTTCTGGAGCCAGAATTAGTGTTCCACAGTGGCAAAAACCACAGTACAGTAACAATACAGCAAGGGTCTAGAAACATCCTCAGTGTTTACAAAACTGATGACCAAGCCTTCATACCTTGAATTTAAAAGCCGAAGAGCCACTTTGCCCCCTGCCCAAACTTCATTCTTGCAAAGAACAGATTATTACATCTTCACTATTACAATTTTTACATACTAAACTGCAAATAAACCTCCACATCTTGCCTCAACTGAAGAAGTGCTGACACTCTCTCTCTCAAAAGTAAATGTGCATTCACCTGCACTTTAACCAGTAGCAATTCTCTATACCAATTAGTATTCAGGCACACTTTTCATGAAAAAGACACAAAGGTGACTAATTCTTTGCCCTTTCCTCCTAAAAAGGCAGTAACTATACTTCTTGCATAATAAGAGGATACTAGTCATAAAGTATCACGCTTTTCCTCTCCATTCCCCATGAAAAAAACATTAATCCTCTGTCTCTGTCCCTCCATCTTTTTAACTACAAAAAGCATGTCAAGCTTCACAAAATTTATCATCTGAAGGGAATTAAAAGAAACCGACTGTGCTGATGTGATTAGCATTCTGAATTTGCTAGACGAATAAAAAGGGATTAATATTACTTGGTCTTTCCTTAATTAGTTTTACATTTTGGCCTTTACAATGCCTTCATACAGAGCTGTATCTACAGGCAATGAGTTTTTGCACTACCGCTTCCAATAAAATGAAAAATGTAGTCAGTTGTTCCAGAAAAACATAAAGTACAGACAAAAAAAAAAGCTTTACACATTTGCAAATAAACAGAAAATCTGGCAAAGTTAAACTTACCTCAAATTTAAGTAAGTTAGCATTTGCAGGTTCACTATGGCATCTGGTATAATTTTAATACAATTGTGGTATAGATTTAGTGTTTCCAGTGACACAAAATGGCACAACTCTGTAGGAACCTCAGTTAATCTATTCTTGGATAAATCTGAAAAGAGAAAAAGAGAAGGTACATTTTTTGAACCATCAGAAATACTTTGAAAAGCTATGCTTCTTTATTAAAATAAATCAATAAATGTAATCCTAGAGTGAGACAGCAAATTAAGCCAATGTTTTTATTATGCAAAATCAACCTTGTGGTAATCTTTACAATCTTGAAATGGAACAGACTGCGTATAAAAGAGCAAACATTCAATTAAAATTTATTCCGTCTAATACAAAGTAATTATTTGCAGGACTCAATATGCTGAGGAAATACTTGCAAACAGACCCAAGTATAGATTCCAAAGCTCGCATAATATACCCAGAGATCTAGCTGCTACACAGCTGGACAGCTGCAATAATGATAGCATTTAGAGAAAACAAACAAGGATTATATCTTTAATTTCTTTCAAAAAATACATTAAAAAAAGTTCCTTGGGTAACACTTCAAACTGACCTGTATTTCCTAGATCTTAATCAATTATAGAAGAATGTTACCTAAAAAACATGCTGAAGACCTTCAGGAACGTATTTGATATATGGTATAAGTACATACAAGACAACAATGACGGATTCCACATCCCCCAAGTGAGTGCTTGTACCCATAGAACAAAAGCTTTTGATTTTTAACCAGTTGTTCGTTCTTTATTTCTCATTTTAAGTACACAAAGGAAAATCAGTAGGAAGAAATGTTACTGAGCTTTGTTCCTTAACTACCACAGTATGAAAAATGAGGTATCGTAATACTGATGTGAGCTCAAGTCATAAAATAATAATGCATACCAGCGTTCAACAGCATTAATTAGGTTCAAAGAAATGTTTAAACAGTGTTGCAGAACAAACATCTCTTATCATCAGAAACCACACAAATGCCACCTACTCATACCACTAGACGCATAACCTGACCTGAAGAACAGTCACCTGTTTTAAGTGAAAGGAACAGGAATGTACCTGGGCAAAAAGTGAGATGTCTGATGGGAAGGGTGCCAGGAAAAAAAGGAACTTGATGATCCCCTCACTTCTTCACTGCTGCTATTTTAAGCCTCCTCCCTGATCCTTCAAAGCTAATTTCAAAGCTTACTTAAACTACATAAAAGGAAAAGCAGCCAAAGTATAACAGATACATTTCCAGAGCACCGATGATCTGAATCCTCTCTTTAGACCCATAAAGCAATTTTTTGCTTTTGTGAAAAAAACAGGCAGAAGCCTGAAGATCTTTTTAACTTCCTTTGCAGTTCCAGACTCATCAGTTTGCTGCACAGAGGCACAGCTTGAGTTCAAAACTACCATCAGTAGAAAGGTTTTATCATTTTTATTTTTATTCCTATCTCCTGCAATGCGAGCTGCAATTCAGTATGCTCTACTCCCCTTGTCAGATTCCACTTTGCTTCACTTCGTTGCTTCTGACAAAAAGTTGGTTTCATTATTCCATCCTCTACCAAGACAACAGCAATGGCCTACGAGTGCAGTAACTGAGAGCAGCCCTGCTGACCCAAGTGGCAGTATGGTTGAATTGAGCACTTCAACCAAAATTATTCACTTCTCAGTTACTATAGAGCAGCAATGCTTGAACTGCTCTGCTTTCTCTTACCAGGCTTTGATGGTAATTAGATGCAGCATTACCTCAGCTTCTCCTTTCCTTCGCTTTTGCCATCAAACTAAAGCGTTCCCTATTTGAGCGAATGTTATTACTGTTTCAAAGGGGGAGAAAGCTCTTCAGTGTTCCTCTGTTTCAATGTTTTAATCCTCTAATGTTTTCTGTTTACCATGAGGGTATTTGTTTACTATCATGGCATTCCAAAAAAATACCACTGGTTCCCTCTCCTGCTGCCTTCCTAGCTATGTTTATTATCAGATATTAACAGAGGACTGCCATGCTGTAATTTTTTGAATCATGCAGGGGATCTTCATATTTTATAATTCGATTGCAAAGAAAACCTTCCCTTTTTTTAAACCACGCTTTTCTGCAGTGACATTGTCACGTACATACTGCTCTTGTTTCCTCCTTTAAAGGGGAAGGAGCAGCAAGATCCAGAAAAGTGAACTGAACTGCATGGCAGTGGATGGTACATGGAGAGTGACATCTCATCCTTCACTGGATCTTTCTCAAGTGATACACAGATCAAAAACTGGGAACACAAAAATGTTCCTTCTCCTCAAGCTACTAAAACTGCAGCCTACCACCTAAACTCCATCTTCATGCCTGTCCTCATTTACCTTCACATTGAACAAAAGGGACTGTTGCCACAACACTTGACTTACCCTGGAAAAATTCTAGTACCTCAAAAATGTGGAACAGCAACTAGATTGACTCTGCTAACTAGATTGAGTCTGCTTCTATAACAGACATTACTATGACAGTAAGGTGCCTTTTTTTTTTTTTTTCCTTTAAATTTTATTACTATCCTTTGTTCTCAATGGCTTTAACTCTGTTAGTCTGAAGGACAAAACAAAAAACGCGCAGATCATAACAAATTCCTTCCTGTCATCCTCAGGACCATGGGTTATAGGACACAATATGTACACAACAAAGGAATTCAAGAATTAACTTACAACAAAGGAAGTCAATTATTTGTTATTGTCTAGTTATCACAGTTTAAGACTAAGATCATTTCAACACTTGTATTTGTTGTTGCTTCCTAAATAAGAAAAAACCAATTCACAGCATAAGGCAGAGGAATAAAAACTATACATTTTATTTAATACCACTGTAACAGAACTTAATAGAAAAAGCAGAAGTTTGCTACTATCATTTACTGATAAGAGGTATCGTTACTACCAAATCTGAGAAACACAACACCGGAATGGAATCTGACATACAGAATGCTCATCACATTTCTTAACTAGTGGCAATAATTTTTGCCAAAAAACAGACTTCCCTGATCAAATGGAAGCAAAATAAAATTTAAAAAAGACACGTTTTTTATTCAATCCTAGAATGAATGTGAGCCTCTGAACATGATGCAGCTGTGAAGAAAGCCTAGCAGCTTTCAAACGTCTCTGAAAATTCCATACAGAAAAGCATGTATCTTCAAAAATGAAAAGGAAAACAACCCGCATAACAATTTTATACTGTACCTTAAAAGCGTATGTAAATGTGTAGAGAAACCTCTGAAATTTACATAATTATTTTGATATGACTTTATATGAAGGTACTTTTGCCTCAAATTACTGCATCTTACAATTAGTCTGTATGTATTTCAGGTTTACTCTGATACTTAAGTTCTAGAACGAAATACAAAGGTTAAGCCTTAACAAAACTGCAGAACCTTTTGAACATACTGAGAAAAACAGGACGCATGTATCTTGTTTCTGTCACAACTCAAACTTTCTGAAAAATATTTTGCAAAGGCTTTCTTGGGCTCATTATTTAGGGAAAAAGAAGAATGCAGTAACTAAAATTTTAAACAACTTCTGAAAATATTTTTAAAACACAGAAATAATTAGTTGGCAAACCTTTACTTCCTTGCTGTAATTTTTTAACTCTACACTTCCCAAATCACTAAGCTACACATCCCCCTTGCTTCATTAATTTGAAGAATAACGCTTCAGGGTACTTAATAATAATGAAGTTATTGCACAGACTACCTTTTGCTACAGAAATGGAAATGAACAGAGGGATGGAATTTGCTGGTGTTTAAAGGAATTTTGATTAATTTGCTTACACTATCTAAGACAAAGGAGATCTAACAAATTAATGAATCTATGACGGCAGAAGTACATTTCATGGTTGCCAAGACAGTAGAGGTAGGTTTCACCTGAGGTGACTGTTTCCTATAACTTCCAGTATGAAATAGGTGACACAAATATAAACAAATACGATGAAATACACTGTTCATTCATTATTTGTGACATAAAAGACATTTTCAAACTTCATCTGGCTTCACTTCATCTTTTTCTGCCAAGAACAAGTTTGTTAAAACTCCAAAATAAAGTAACAGAACACAAAAAAAATACGCAAGCCAGTTTAGAAAAATATTAGATCTTTAAAACAATCAGCACAATTCTGGCGCAATGACATGGTTTTTGTATGAGAAATGTTACTATGTTGGAAGCTAGACAGGAACTACACAAAACCAGCACTTCCTTGGCTGAGAGCAAACAATAAAAAGCAAGAAGTGCGGACTGGTAAATAGGCATTTAACAGAAGACTCCAAGCCCTGTCTGGGGACTGGCACACTGCGCCGACAGGGTCCACGCTGCCACCACACCAGTGATAACTGACCCCATCCTCAGGGCAAAACCTTTCAGTCCCTGTAGCTCTGAATATGCCCACCACAATGAAGTACCACCGCTGACTAGGACCTTTCTGACTTCATGCTTTACAGGCAGATGACCAACTGCCACTATACATATACACATGGTGTAAAACACTGCCACTGCAGAAACCAAAATAGCATTGTCAACATAACCCAAATAATACTAGAAGTCATATAGTTACATTTTTTTCAGTAACATTATGAAAATGCTCCAATTTTCCCACCTTCCAGTTATTGATACATTATTAAATAGCGGTTATTAATACATTATTAAATAAAAATTGCAGACTATTCATGGGAGAGCTAAACAATTTAAGCCTTGAAGTTAGAACAGTAATTCATTAAATAAATATGCATATGCACTACTACATCACAAATCTTAGCCAAGAATTTTAATGCAGTGATTTACAATTTTCAGATTATAGAAAAATTCACTATAAATTTATACTTCTAACACACAAACCTGCAATGCACAAAAGTTGGAATTATGCAAGTAAGCATCTATCCACCACTGAGCAGGATATTTTTAAAAATTTTTAATATATATCTGAAACAGAACAAATATCTGTATTTGATATGGAGTTCTGAAATCAAGAAATTGCAAGGTAAAAAAGTCACCCAAACAACCTCAACTCCAGCCCACCAAGTTCCTAGTTTTGTACTCTTCAGCACTTACTGAATAAAAGACAGGAATTATTTTGAAGAAGCTATTTGCATTTGTACTAAGATACCATTCAAGGTATTCAAATGAGATGTCTGAATTGGTTTGACAAAGAATTCAAGCAATTCACTTTAAGAGCCTAAAAAACTGGTATGTTCAACCCTAATTTCATGGGAAAATTATGTAAATAAGAATGCTAGAAAATACATAAAGAAGTCTATATATGACATGACACAACTGTATGGAGCTTTACCTTCTATACTGTAAGTTACCCATATTTTTATTATGCTTTTAAGAAGCCTGTATTTCCATATTAGCTAAGTATCTCTTCATTGATAACTGAAGCCACAAATTGATGGCACTGTATCTCGGACAACTTTCAAAATACCTACTTAAGCGCACTTTAGACCTTCAGCAACACTGTATCCCACGCATACTTGCCTTGGCAAAGAAGGCAAATGATCTACGATCAATGTAATTGCGCCTATCAGAATCAAATTGTCAATGCTCTCTAATGAGACAATTACTTCATTCTAGCCTTTACTCAATTTTTCCCTCTAAATGGTAGGAAAATGCATCATTCTATAGACAAATGCTATATATTAGTCATGAAAACACTGTAATGCAACTATAAAGTGATATATACTTTTAAGACATGCCCTACAACTTGTCATTACCTTGCATAGCGGCATATGCTGTCTCAACTACTTGCTCTCTCTATCTGCCAGTATCAATGAATAACGTCCTGGATGTACAGCCAACTTTTACTGTAGTCAGCAACTTCTGCTGACAGTGATGCTACACGAACAAAAAAGAGGCAGCAAAGACCTCCACTGACTCTGCCTTCAAATGCATCCTGGTTTGTCCATGACAACTGTGCCACAGAGGACGCATGGCATTTCTTCACGGCGAGGCATTTGTTTTTAAGTTATTTAGCAGACAGAAGAACAAGTGACAGAAGACTAAGAATACCCAATAAAGTAAAACCAATTCTGCTTCCATGTAAGAAAGAATACAACATAGTAGTGCATGGACTCAAGGTTTTTCATTCTGAAACTACAACTTGTAAGATTGAGAAAAAAGTAGCTCCAATGCTGATTCCTGAGAAAGTAATCATTACTGATGCAATAAGATAAAACAGTAACATTTAGACACTGATCAACACTACTGAGTCTAGATGTATGACTGCTGACTCAAAACATGTAGAAAGTGCATCTATCCCAGACAGTTTGACATAAAAATGTACAGACATTGCAAGAAAAATATTTTGAACAGATTATGAAGCGACTCTGCTGTTTCACACACTTGCTAAGCACTACTTTTTGAAGCACTGTCAGCATATTTTCCTTTGCCATCTGTCTCCCATTGTTAATTTAAGAATTAACATTAAAACTCTCCACCTCAAAGCCACAGACAAATTAAGATTACACTACAGGTGCAGCGAATTTCAGTGATCATATATGTACTTTCGTATCCACTTTTCCTATCATTACTGTGATTTAACACATTAAAAGTTTCTCCTTTACCACTGTGCCCGCGAGTTCTCCGATTCTTCCCTATTCCACATCTTGACGTAGCATTATAATACGTGGGCAAATTAAAGAGCCAACACTAGTGATATACAACACAACACTGTCTTTTCTGTTTCACTGACGGTCCGAATGAACTCAATTTATTACTTGTCAAAGTAACAACTGTAATAGTAATCATATATTCACCACAGTTACCAGAAGGGACCTAAATGTGGGGTTTAGAGGGAGGAAAAAAACCCAAAAAAACCACACAGGACTGAAGGAATCCAACAGGCTGAGAAGAGCAGCTCGCAGTCTGGCAGAGTTGTCACCACTAGAGGGGGTCCTGATCCCACGGACCTGGCCAACACCCCTGCAAGGGTGTTTCTCCACGGTTTCCTCCTTCTAGAGACCATCCGCAGCCCATGAAAAGGACAGAAACAGGAAGGTACGCTTTACAACCCCCCCACTTCTGTGAATCCCTTTCCCACCACAGTTTTCAAAATACGACAAATGAGGCTACTCAATTGCAACCACTACTGCAGGAAGCTAATATATATACTGATGTCTAATGAGGTCAAGCCCTTACAAAAAAAAAAAAAAGTCTATTCTGAAACAGTCACATTCAAGTGTTTTACCCCAACCTTCCCTCAGATGATGTAAGAATCTGAGGTATCCTTAAGCTCTCTGTAGTTACAGCAACATTTGGCCTATTTCAGGCAAAAGTACTATAAGATACATCTGACAAAGACCCTGCTTACAAACTTCTTCCTCCACAATGGCCCTCATCTACCATTCTACTCTATTTCATCCCCCAGTGCATTATGGAATACATAGCTTGCTTTTTCCACAGTGCCCTGTAACCTCCCAATAAAGCACAGCCAAGTGTAAGAAACACGGACCCCACATTTCTTCTCAGGCAGTGCACTAACTAGCCTGAAGCAATCAAACACCATAAGCTACCTCTCCCAGACACCAAAACTTTGAGCAAACGTCACTGCAGGGTCTTCTGCTTCCTCTGTGTGAAACAAGGGTGGGGTAAGGAGGGAGCAAAAGGGTAGCAATAACTCAGTAAATTGAGGCATATTCTCACAATTAGCTCTGTGGCATGCTCCAGTTCCAAAGAGACAAAGGAAATTTCTCTGCAAGAAACATGCTCAAAACAATCTCACGAGCCTGGAAGAATAAACAGAAGGTTAATACATCAGTCTGCCTCATTATTGCACCTGCCTTTAGGTGGCAAAATAAAACATTTAAATTTTTCCTTTATCTTCTATTTCTTTGTCTTTAGGACAACTGTTCAGAGTTAAGATTGGCAGAAAAATTGGTTCCTGAGGGGGTTCTGTTTACACACAGAAGATGAACCTGGTGTGGACGTGCATGAGACTCCCTAAAAACATACTGTAAAACAACTGGATTCTTCCTGCACATCTCCATGTAGGTTCAAACAGATGTAGGACTGTGGCAGGTTGATCTTGGCTGGCCACCAGGTGCCCACCAGGGCACTCTACCCTCAGCAGGACAGAGGGAGAAAACACAATGAAACAGCTCATGAGTCAAGGTACGGACAGGGAGATCACTCATCAGTTACTGTCACAGGCAACACAGGCTCGACTTGGGAAAATAAATTTATTGCCAATTAATAACAGAGTAGGATAGTGAGAAATAATAACAAAACTAAAACCACCTTCCCCCATCCCCCTTTTCCCAGGCTCAACTTCACTCATGCTCTCCTACTTCCTCTCCCAGCCCCTGCCTCCCCCAGTGGCTCAGGGGGATGGGGAATGGGGGTTGCGGTCAGCCCAGAAACACTTCATCTCTGCCACTCCTTCCTCCTCACACTCTTCCCCTGCTCCAGCATGGGTCCCTCACATGGGTTACAGTCCCTCAGGAACTTCTCCAACACGGCTCCTTCCCACGGGCTGCAGTTCTTCACAAACTGCTCCAGCATGGGTCCCTTCCACAGGGTGCAGTCCTCCAGGAACAGACTGCTCCAATGTGGGTCCCCCACGGGTCCACAGGTCCTGCCAGCAAACCTGCTCCAGCGCAGGCTCCTGTCCACGGACCACAGGTCCTGCCAGGAGCCTGGTCTGTAGTGTGGGCTCTCTGCCGGCTGCAGCTTCCTTCAGTGCACGTCCATCTGCTGCAGTGTAGGGCCCTCCATGGGCTGCAGGGGGACAACCTGTTTCACCATGGTCTTCTCCATGGGCTGCAGGGGAATCTCTGCTCCAGCACCTGGAGCACCTCCTCCCTCTCCTTCACTGACCCTGGCGTCCGCAGGACTGTTTCTCTCATATTTTTCACACTCCTTTCTCATACAGCTGCCATGTGAAAAAGCAGTTTTTACCTTTTCTTAACTCTGTTATCACAGAAGCGTGACCAGCATCACTGATGGGCTCAGCTTTAGCCAGCAGCGGCTATGTCCTGGAGCTGGCTGGAACTGGCTCTGACACGGGGACAGCTTCTGGTGTCTCCTCACAGAAGCCACCCCTGCAGCCCCCCTGTTACCAAAATCTTGCCATGTAAACCTGATACAGTCACCCAAACACTTGTATCAGAAGGTGGAAAAAAATATCAGACAGCAAACACCGTCCATCAACAGAATAACCTTTAATAACATGCGGCATGAAACCCAGTTAATGGGCCATGAAGCATTCCTCCTTCTCCCACGCCTTCCGCACAAGAGGGAGGATACAAGTCATTAATTTTCACTCCTTAATAAACAACCAACCCTAAGAAGGATCAATGGATTGTATGATTCCAGTATTGTACTAGTCAGCCTCAACAGGACTTAAAATATTTCAGGTGTTTTCTCAGACTCGGTAGCAGTAAGAAGAAATGTTCACGCAACTCTAAAAACTTTAAAAACTGTTCTTTGTCATTTTCACCCTTTATAGTAGGTTGATGGAGAGCACTGGAGGAACAAAAACTGAAGTGTTCACATCATATACTATCCAGCTGAACATCTTTACTGTAGCAAACTATATTTCAGTCATCTGCCCGAACAGTTCATACTGGCACATGAAAGAAAACTTGATCGTGAACACTCACCCATATGAAAGCAGGACCTTCCCCCTGCTTCCTCTGTGGAAACAAAAACTGAAAGTATACCTTGATACCAAAAAGTCCTCAAGATTAGTTTCAGCCATCACAGATACACTTTAATTATTAGCATGGAATGCTGGGAGATCAGGTAAACTGTGAGCTACAAGGGGACTTCCAGGTATATTAGAGACTTCTCACAGGAATAAGATTTGGATTATGAAATTCTTTACTGAAAGATGAATAGTGACCACAGCTTTCACTAAACTCAAAACGAAAGTTCAAAAAGGTATAAATTGAGTACTTGCGTATATAAACACACAGGCACACAACCTTATTTCAGTCAAGCAACTTACTTCCACCTCTTGGAGTACAGCGAAAGATGTGAAACAAAAACGTGAATTACATTCTATCCCAAAGACGGTGTTGGATCCCTGCATGGACGTACTCTAGTGTCTTCTATTACAAATCTCTTGTTCCAGCCACAGAGATCTCCTTTCTTCAAGCTGTCTACTTTCAAACTCAACACCTTCTGCTTCCACGGGGGAATTCCACATAATGCACTCAAAAGCAGCAAAATGTAATCTACCTTTTCCAGCCCACAGACAATACTACTAGAAGGAACAAGCTGAATGCAAGGTCAAGGTTTTTCACTTCATTCTCTCTTTTAATGGCTATTATTATTATTATTTTTTTCCTCAGGCTGTGAAGAGAGGACACCATTTATGCTATGCATTATCTGCGTCAGTGACCTGCTCGAAGAGGAGTTACCTCACATTTACCATCTAGTAGAAGCAGCACATAAACCAGTTTCTGTGAAGTAGCTCACTCTTCTGAACTCTGAAGATGATTATTTTTCACACATGACAGACTAAAATACTAGATTTGTTTATTTTTAATGCATTTTTATACATGAACTGTCTCGCATTCTGTAAGAAAATTTGCTATGAACAGGGAAATGAACAAGAGTTATTTGATATTTAGTTATATCAAAGGCATGTGGGCAAAGACATGAAAAAGCTACCTGATGCTAATTTACAGTGACATGGAAAGCAGAGTATTACTCATCTAATCACTTCCCTTTCTGTCTGCCCATCTCCCACAGATGCCAGGGTTAATCTACCTTATCTG